GGAGGGCGGAGCAGGGCATCGCCGAGATCCCTTGTACAATACGAGCTACACGCTCTACATTTAGCTCTGTTTGGCTGAAGCAGGCTAAATGTAGAAAAAAAACTACCCGCCCGGTGGTTGTGCTTCCCGCCACCCTGAGGCCAGGCCTCGGTGGCCTTGTGGGAAATATGGCCCTGGTGGTAGGTTGCCTTCATTTGTTCTTTTGAAATTGCCTGAAAATAACATTAGGCTGCTCAAACAAAGCCAGATATTGGCTAAAGCTGTCCATGCACATTAGGAGCTTTCTGGTTCAAGCCCCAAGGGCTGAAGAAGAGAAATCTTTCGACTCCTCAACTCCACTCTAAACAATGTGGATGGGGGAATCTCCTCTGCTGGCTTTTGTATTTGTGTTGTATTGCAGTTGATAGGCTGCAGTCACTGACTGACAATCTTCCATCTGGTTCCTTAAACAGAAGTTGACTGAAAAATCTAATTTTTACGGTCTGAGAAGGACCAACAGGGGCACCTACAGCTCCAAGTTTGGACATTTCAGCAGCAAACGGCTGAAATTCAACCCACGTATGGCCAGCTTATGTTGGGAAATCTCTGAAAGCAAATTATTATTTGTTCCTCTTGGTGAAAAATCCCTTTACCAAAGGCATGCATAATAAGAACTTTCAGATTGTAAGCTCCCATGAGCAGGGCCCTCCTTAACATCTTGTCTTGATTTGTATTGTAACTGTAATGTCTTGTTGGCGCTATATAAATCCATAATAATAATAATAATAACATTGCATACATGTGCAATACCTTTTGACATAATACAGTCATAGCCTTTATTTTTCAAGAACACTTTTTTTCTCATAATTCATTACGTTAGAACCTCACAGGTAACACCCAGTAGATGCTAGATTTATTTATAACACATGCAATACATTTTGTGAGAATTGACTTTTACATGCCACATTCCAGAAAATGTAAAATATAGTGTGGATGCAATAAACTCAACTCCACTGTGCAATCAAACCTTTAGTGAACTAAAAACTATTTTGAAGGTAGTTAGCAAATAAAACAAGGTAACAAAAATGCAATATGGCCTTCTGCTTTAGTGGATTGACTTTACTGTGCTTAAATAAACAATGCTTTTATTATGCACACTTTGTCTTGCTGGAGGCCATCTTCTCTATGAATACATTAACAGGTATATTAGCTGCTAACCTTAAATGCACCTAATCCATGTCCTGATTTTCATTATAAATACAGTATTATATATAAGACTCGCCATCTTGCTTCCTGATTAGCCTGGAAGCCGGGGGGGCGTGTAAAGACTCGCCACCCGGCTTCCCGATCAGCAGGGAAGCCGTCCCCCATGCTTCTCGTCACTAGGTGACGATAAAGCATGGAGCCGGCTTTCTGGCCAATCAGGAAGCCGGGCGCCATGTAATGATGCGGCACACGGCTCCCTGATTGGCCGGTAGGCCGGCTCCATGCTCCCTCGTCATGAGGTGACGAGGGAGAATGAAGCCAGCTTCCCGGCTAATCAGAAAGCCGGGCGCCACGTCATTACATGGCGCCTGGCTTCCTGATTGGTCAGCTTCCTGACCAAACAGGAAGCCGGGCAGCGGGTAAATGACTCACTGCCCGACTTCCTTATGTCAGAAGCTAAAGTATCGTGCTAGGCATCAGAGCATTTGGGCAAGTACGAGTACTCGCCTAAATACTCTGCATCGGCACCAATATTAGTATCGATGCATCCCTAATATACATACTTACATACATACATACATACATACATACATACATACATGGGTATACCGGGTGTCCTGCTGTCAGAATACCTGAACAGTGGCTGAAGTGCAACTGATTGGCTGCAGTCACTGTCCAGCTGAGAATTTTCAGAACAGCTCCTTCAACAAGCTGAACTATAGTGAACCATACTAATGTAATTTTAACAGCTGATTGGTTAAAGGATCACTTATATACTCCATTAGGAGATTGTAATTATAGTTAGGTGAAGGCCCCAGAAATGCGTTGGTTCTTAAAATCAGCAGCTGGAAGGTCTAGCAAGACTAGGATTCCTTTTTAGGTAATTATTAAGGTGTTGCTTCTATTTGGCACGATGAGCTTGTTGGAAGTGGATATTATATTTGATATGCCTTTGATCTACCCTGGTTTATAAATAATGTTTTAACATTTTTATTTATCTAATTTATAATATTTTCAATTTTCCAAATATCGATCTAATAAAAATCGTGCTGCACGAAGAGAAGGCGCTGTCCTTCAGTTTTCACATATATTGTAGACTTCCCTGTCAGATTTGGATTGCAGTCTTCTCCAGTAAAAAGCTATATATGAAGATTGAATTGAACTCAACAATATGCGGCTTTCCAGTGCCGCCGGTTTACTGGTTTTTGGTGTTTTTTAAAAACTAGGAATCAGCCGAAATGTGCCCAGTGTTTGGCCAGCCTAAGTTGTGAATCAAATGTAGAAATAATGCATCTAGTAAAAAACAAGTAAGCTCCCATATGTCTATCCTGACTGGATCTCTTCAATGCCCAAAATGTCTGTATTTTAACAATGGATACATTTGTACTATAAGAATGCTTTAAAAATATTCATAATGTAAATAATTATTTCATATTTTTTTATTAATTGTATGACCAATTTCATTCCAGAACAAAACAATAAAAAGTTGACAAGTTCTGTATGCTTTAATATTTGTATGATAAATACAAATATTAAATGTGAAAGCTGCATATTAGTATATTATGTGCATCAATTTTTTTTTGTGAGGCATATTTTATAAAAACTAGGTTCATAGGTGATGGTTTAAAACTTTTTTTTTAAATTAAAAAAATTATTTCTTATTTAATTTTTTTTTTAAATAATTCAATAAAACCCTAGGTATTATAGGAGATGTTCCGAAAGCATTGTAGGAGGTGAGCACCACCTTACCCGATTCAGACTGGATTGGCTTTGGCATAAGAAGGAGCTGTGTTCACATACAGGAACAAACTTTGCATGCACAGTAGCCAGGTTACAGGTTGCGTACCATAAAATTAGGCCGATATCATAAAGAACTATGTCATTATTTTTATGATGATTTAGTATATTATGTGCTCATTAAAAAAAAAAAAGGCTTTCTTTAACAGTGTGTTTTTACAAAAAAAAAAAAAAGCATAAAGTATTTTATGCCACATTACATGATATGATGGTTCAGTGATCAACAACACAATTTAGCGTAATAATTCCTTCAATTGATTTTAATGTGTAACATTAAAAATTACTAAACAACTTAACATTAAATAGTTATGCTGATGACTGCAGTTTAATGACTGTAACAGGCTTTTTGCTAATGAGTGCTAATTCCATTACAGCTTCCAATACTTAGAAGTTATTTTAGTGTACACATAAGTATTCCATTTTTCTAAAATATTGGCAACACAAGAGCTGCTTAAAAAAAAAAAAAAAACAGAAGCTACATACTCCTCCAGGGAGGCCGAATATCCTTTCCAGATCCGGCGGTGTGAGGACGTCTCTGCCTATCACAGAAGACTTGAAACCGGGAGCGTATTTTTCTATCCAGTCGAACACTTAAAAAAAAAAATGGAAGGAAAATAATATTGACACACGTTGTTAGATTAGCAGGTTTCTTTTGTAGGAAATAGACATACGGCTGAACAAAATTGCATGCTGCCATAAAAAAGTGCACAGTGGTCCAAAGCGCCCATCTTCTACCATAAAGTGTTATTCATCCAGTATAAAATTACAATTATAGATCAAACATATTGCTATGGAGTGAGGGAGTACCAGGAATCTTTCCCGCTATCCTCCTTTTCGCCGCACCAAACAGCATTTGTTCCTCTAATAATGCTTCCACTTGGAAGAAAATGGTCCACGTTCGGAATTATTCGCATTTGATTTAACCGTCGGTTTACCAGGAGTTAGTTTCTTTCTTTTATAAGAGAGAACACACACACACACACACACACACACACACACACACACACACACACACATACACATATATATATATATATATTATTTTTTATATTTATTTTATAAACACTTTTTATGTGTTTTGTACAGTATTTGTGGCCTACTAAGGGACAGATTTAGAAAAGTTGTAAAAAGCATCACATCCTTTTTTACTTTGCATCTCCTTACTTCCTGTTCTGGTTAACTAAATTGGGGATTTTCTCTCACTTTCAGTCCTGGTCACAAAGATAAATAGAAATAGGGGAACCTCCTCAGAGAGGAGACCCTACCCTATCCAAAGCTAATACAGTTTAGGCATTTGGAGAGTTACAGATAGAAGTTTTCATTGACACTAAAACTCCCAAAGTGTTTTTCAGGAAATACCTGTTTTGAGACACCGTGATGTCATCGCTAGGTCTGTCTGCTGCTCCTGCATAGAAGGGACTGAAAGGCTCCTGTAAATATCACAGCGTTATGCCTCAGATATTATTCAAACTGATTACATGAAAGAACGCATCTCCAGATCCCTTTAAATGTGCCTGCTTCTCCCTGTTGACTACTAGGTGCTGCAACCTTAGCAGTGCAGTCTGCTTTTTGGTTGGCTGGTTGCAAGGCATGTCTAAAGGGATGCTGGGGATGTGTTATTTCACATAAAGATTGGGTGCTTATAGCTGTGAGAAGGGAACCAATGATGGGTACGGATCAGGGGGAGAAGTAATGGAATAATAGAGGTCCTTCAGACAGGAAATGAAGGCATGCTCAAAATGGGTGCTGCAGCTTCAAAAGGGTTATATGGTGGAGATTTAAGTTTGCAGGGAATTGAAGATAGATTTTAGCTTTAAAGTGACACTAAACTCAGAAGTAAAATTTAAAAAATGCATTAAAATAATTAACAAAAATATCTTGCGTCTCACTCGTCTGTAGATCCTCAAATCATCTCTGAATTGGTGCCAACACTGTCCTTCCTTCTGAAGGGTGGCTACTTTTGTTCCCCATGGTCCCTCTGTGTGTTATATTGCAGCCACCACTCCAAGCTCGCTCCCGTGATGGACTGCAATCTCAATACAAATTAGTAAACTAAACATGAGATTGTAGTCCATCACAGGAGTGAGCTTTGAGAGGTGACTACTTTACAACACGCACAGGGACCATGGGGAACAAAAGTAGCCACCCTTCAGAAGGAAGGACAGTGTTGGCACCAATTCAGAGATGATTTAAGGATCTACAGCCGAGTGATACACAAAAAAGATCAATTTCTGTTAAAGGAGAACTATGGGCCAACCTTTTCTTGCCCATATTTCTCTTCAGGGTCATGGGAGTACATATATATTAATTCCTCCGGTGACCCAAAATTCAGTATTGCCAACTATATGCTGAGAGCGCAGAGCCGCGTCGCAGCCTGGACAGATCCCGACAATACTGTCAAGATCCAACCTGCTGGCTGATTGACAGCTGATGCTGCCTATCTAGAGGCAGAGCCAGCTGTGCCCGCCCCCTCCACTGTCCATTCCTCCAATCAGCGTTGGTGGATCAGAGAATGGAGGGGGGAATCCCTGTGGGGAGCAGTGAATGAAATTCACCGCTCTCTGCAGGGAGAAGATCAAGAAGTGATCGGCAGTATGTGTTCACTAACCTCACGATCAATAGAGCCGACCTGTGATATCTTCATTGTCACAGGTCGGCTTGTATTATGGGGATGAGTGTTTTTTTGCTCACCCCATAATTCTCCTTTTATAATTAAGGTACTTGAATGCATTTTGAAGACATAACTCCTGAGTTTAGTATCACTAAGTGAACCTGTGCTTTGCCCATGAACAGCAAAGTAACAGGTTCACTTTAAAACTGCTCCCTGTAGCAGTTGCTATTCACCTTCTCATTGTTCCCTACCCCTCCACTGACTTATTGCATGGGGAAAGCACAAGTTCACTTTAATCAAGAGAACTGCACAAACGCTTTTATTAAATACCACAAATGGGGAGAAATGTTCTGTATTGTGGAAAAACACAGCAAATGACGTCAAGTGTTCGAAACCATTAAGTAGCAGCTCTAATGACACATTGCTTTCATAGTGTATGTGCAATGTTAGCAAGTATGCAGTGGCTGATTATATAAGGTTTTCCATAAAACTATAATCATGTGCCAAATGAAGTAAACTATAGCAACTAAAATCCAGATCCATTGTTATAAATCACTATACTCTACACAGTCATTGCACATTCGACTTAATTTGAGAAGAAGTTTGTGCAATGAAAACTAATTGAATGAAATCATGCATCAATCTGTATTGCATTTTTAGCATGAAAGATGGAAACAAGAGTCATTCATACGTGAGGTCCAACAGTTAAAAATATTGACCCCGTTTGCTCTAACTTCTGGCAATGAATCAGAGATGAGGCGCCACCAAGTTGCATTCCTTCATAGGCAGTAGTGTGAGGACTGTATAACACATCAGCAGTCAATGAAATATTCTCTTTGGGGTGGGCTGACCCTTTAACAGTATAGCAATTTGCTCAGCCATCATCTAGCAATCCTACACAGCCCATCACTAGCATTCACAACTCTCTGGAATTTACGGAGATGGAGCTTGAATAATTTGTTTGGCGTGGAGGCAAGGGAGACCATCAGCTGGTAGATCTGGTTACCGAGATGCCGATAGTAAGAAAGGGCAGATTAGCAAACACTCTGGTCGATGGCGAATTTTCTTTACGAGTTGTGCAAGGTAAAATCATGTCTTTGATATGATCTACATTCCAAATCCATTTACCTGTATTACCCAGTGCTAGAACCAACAATGGTCTTCTTTGTTCTCCGAGATAAGGAAAGAATTTATGTGTATGAGCAGAGATGTAAACTGAATTATTACAAAGAGGAGCTAGAGATCTTTTCTAGGGACTAGGTTAAACAAAATCACTTATGTAACTATGATAATTCCATTTTAAGAGGTTATTCCCAGAGAAAAAAAATCACAAATTCAATAAACCCAAAACATTGAATAATTGCAGAGTTTACTGGTAAAACAGGAATTTTGGAGCTGCATATATCAACTTGCTAAAACAGAACCTACATTTGCTTCCTCAACAAGGATGTACTTGCAAACAAGATATTGCACTTCAAGTTACAATGTTCTTTGTCCATGCACAGCAATGCGACAGACTCATTTTTATTACCCCAGCGCCTACGCATACTGGAAGTGGACCTTTACCCCTATCCTTAAAATAACAACAAACACACCTTTAGACATTTAGAATGTTTAGTGATGACAGTCTACAAACATTATACTTCTAGATAATTGCCGGCTTTGTATTCTTTGCATATCTTATTTCTATTTTCTTTCCCAGTCTTCCCACAGTGACCATGTTAACTAAGGGCAGATTACTAGCTCTCCCTTTACTTCCAGGAACTCTGGCACATGTGATTAGGACATGTGACCAAGCACATCGTCTCAGGGGAGGAAAATGCCTTTCCCTGAGATCTCCTGAGATTACAGATGAGATTTCCCAGCAATGCCCAGCTGGTGTCACCTTCCCAGGATGCAAAGCTTGGGCACATTACATCATTTGTGCAAGAAGTGGACCAGGAAGTAGATGAACTCTGTAAGTAAATGAAAAACAAGTTTGTTTAACTAATGAATGTAATATGATTTTTACATCAGCATGCAGAGCTGCATACTTATGCGATTTTAGTGAAAGGGGGTAAAGGTTCACTTTAAGTTTTCTTTGCTCCCCCCAAAGTTCTGTTCAGGCACCAGAAACTAGAAAAGGAAGCTCTGAGTCCCTCAAGGTTGAAGACTCGTCCCCAGTTTCATGTGACAGTACTGGGCCAAACGCAACAGCTGTCACATCAAGCCCCTCCATACCCAGAGTAAAATACTCAATCCCGTGATGGACTACAATCTCAATACAAATTAGTAAACTAAACGTGAGATTGTAGTCCATCACGGGAGCAAGCTTGGAGCTTACAATGTCATTGCTGAGCCCGATGAAGGGGACCATGTGCAGCCTGGAAAGCGCTGATGACATGACGTTTTAATTAAACGATCAGTTTGGATTTCAAATGCCTTTGGTGTGCTGGTGACATCTATTTACTAACATTGTCAGGCAGCACCATCCACAGTCACTACAAGCATCCCCCCCCCTTGGATTAGGGACCTCCAGTAAGGAGTGCAACAAGGGAACTTTATGTTTGAAGCTTACAACACACACAGGGACCATAGGGAACAAAAGTAGCCACCCTCCAGAAGGAAGGACAGTGTCAGCACCAATTCAGAGATGATTGGAGGATCTACAGCCGAGTGATACACAAATAATATACATTTTTGTTAATATTTAAGGTACTAAAATGCATTTTTTAATTCCCAAGTTTAGTGTCACTTTAATCCAAACATTACCAGTTACCTGGAAGGAAATTGGCCTTCATCTGGACCAAAACTGCTGGAGCTGGTAGTTTGGGTCATCTGGAATTATAATGGGCCCATACAATCTTACAACGTTCAACTTATTTATTAATGACATCGGGGAGGGTGTTAACAGCGATATTTCTGTGTTTGCGGATGACACCAAAATAGGGAGGGTAATAGACACGGACTTAGACACTATAACATTACAGGAGGACCTGGATAAAATAGGGGAGTGGGCATTAATGTGGCAGATGAGGTTTAATGTCGATAAATGCAAAGTAATGCACTTTGGAATTAAAAATAAACAAATGGGTTATACAATTATGGGTATGCCGCTGGGGAAGTCAGAAATGGAGAAGGATTTGGGGGTCATTGTAGACCACAAACTGAAAGGTAGTTTGCAGTGCCAGGCTGCTGTAAACAAAGCTAGCAGGGTCTTGTCCTGTATTAAAAAGGGGATGTATTGCAGGGACAAGTCTATAATTTTGCCACTTTATAGATCATTGGTTCGACCTCATCTGGAGTACGCGGTCCAGTTCTGGTCACCAGTACTAAGAAAAGATGTCCTTGAGTTGGAAAAAGTCCAGCGAAGGGCAACCAAACTAATTAGGGGTATGGAGGACCAGAGCTACGAGACGAGGCTACTAAATTTAAACATGTTCACATTAGAGGTGAGGAGATTAAGGGGGGATATGATTTCCATGTACAAAATGTTTAATGGTGGTAGCAACATTAGCGATAAACTGTTTAAAATTAACTCCGTTACAAAAACTAGAGGCCATCACCTAAAATTGATGGAAAAAAAATTCCAGCACAAGGGGCGAAGGGGGTTCTTCACAGTAAGATCAGTTAGGGTCTGGAACTCACTGCCACAGGCGGTGATTTCAGCAAATAATGTGGAATTGTTCAAGAAACTTTTGGACGATTTCTTAAGGGACCGTAATATACAGGGGTACGGGTACTCCTAGAATGAGATCCTAATAGGTTGGACTTGATGGACTAATGTCTTTATTCAACCTCAAATACTATGTAACTATGTAACAATGAACATAATAACTAGCAAAATAAATGATATTCAATGGAGAATGATTTGGCAATACAACACAACAAACATAAATCACTGGCAGAGACACCGCTTACCATTATCTGCATATTTATTTATTTCTTCATCATCCCACTGTTGGCCTCCAGCCAGAGTGTATGGAGTGTATTGTGAGAAGATTGAAATTACATGGCATCCAGGAGGAGCCAGGGTAGGGTCTAGTGATGAGGGAATACACAGTTCAATCATAGGCCTGTGAGAAGTATAACAATAGAGTCAATTTCATGGTTGTCATTCACATAGCTCTTACATAACGTATAAAGCTTTACAATCACTTTCTGCAACTCCAGTACTGCTTATACATTGCTATATTTAGTTCACAATCAACTAGATATTACCTTTCGTTCAACCACTGACTCTATCTGATACCTCTTCTGAACCTCAGCAAAGTGATACTTCTGCAATTTACTGAAAGCTATCTTGCAGTCCAGAGCCATACTTGACTTTCCACCACAGCAAAAAGAGCCCTAGATGCTTTCTATAAGAACATTCACTTCATTTACAGTTAATATAAAACTGCCTATGACCATTATTCTGGTTTCAGACAAGCAAACCTCATAAAATATGCACAACCTTTATTATCCTAGGTTCAAAACTGATGCCCATTATATGCGAACTTGAACCAAACCCATTTTTCCACCACTCTTCTTTCCACCTGAACACATATCTAAGAAGGTAAATCTCTGTTTAGCCAAAGTGATATCTCTAAATTACTGGTTGTTATTTTTTGCAGCAATTTCCTTTTTTATGCTGGTTGGCATGGAAGAGACAATTTTTTTAACCAAATTAGCAGGATCATGATACATCATCAGGGAAACCAGTGACAAAGAAGACATGTGAACCATAAAATAATTATTCTGGTACAAAAAAAAATCAGCATCAGTAACTGGTGCAATGCTTTCATATGCACGGTTATTCTTATCCAAATGCCCCCTCCTCAATGGCAGTAGCATAGCCCAAAAAATGTCAGACTATTGTACAGATTGGGGTATAAACCACTGAAGAATCACAACGTTTATTTTAGAATAGGTGGTGATTGCACGGTCCATTATTGATAAATATTATAAAATAGCAGTAGAAGCAAATTATATTTGTTCAATAAAGAGTAAAATGCACCATGGGTCACTCTTATTTTGCCAAGGGATGACAATCGCTTTATATTATAATAATAATTAGGGATGCACCGATACCGTTTTTTCGGTATCGAGTAGGAGTAGCGGTATTTTTTTTCCGGTACTTGCCGATACCGAGTATCGGTGCCGTGTACCCCAATTATCAGAAAGTCAGGCGGCGGATCATGACCCGCCACCCCCGGCTTCCTGATTGCCAGTGAAGCCAGTGTTCTAGCGAAAGAGCACCGGCTTCACTTGCCGAGCCTGCCTGGCTTCCTGACCAATCAGAAAGCCGGGCAGCAGGTCATGAGGTGTCATCCGTCTTCCTAATTGGTCAGGAAGCCAGGCTGCCTAGCCAAACAGGAAGCCAGGCGGCACATCATGACTCGCCTACCGGCATCCTGATTGGCTAGAAAGCCGTGTTAACTTGTTCCTAGGCAGCCTGGTTTCCTGACCAATCAGGAAGCCGGGTCATTATGTGCCACCCAGGTCATTAAAGAGTATTCGGGCGAGAACTCGTACTCACCCAAATACTCGGTATCGGTGCACCCCTAATAATAATAATTATTCAGAATTTATATGGCATCAACAGTTTGCTCAGTGCTTTACACCATACGGGAAAACAGAACAATTACAATACCATACAAAAAGATTAGAGGGCCCCGCTTATGAGAGCTTACAATCTACACAGAGGGGCAATTGATACAGAAGGTGATACCGTTGAGGGATGAGCTGATTGAAGGAGTAGCTGTACAGTTTTTAAGAAGAGGTAGGATAGGCTTCCCTGAAGAGGTGAGTTTTCAGGGATCGCCTAAAGGCAGTCAGAGTTGGTAATAGCTGGATATGTTGTGGTAGGGAGTTCCAGCAGATAGGAGAGGCTCTGGAGAAGTCCTGGAAACTAGCATGGGAGGAGGTGATGAGGGAGCTAGAAAGGAGGAGATCTTGGAGGAGTGGAGGTGACAGTTAGGGTGATACTTTGAGATGAGGTTGGAGATGTAACCAGTGGCAGAGTTGTGGATGGCTTTGTATGTTTTTGTTAGCATTATGAATTTTATGCTTTGTGCTATTGGAAGCCAGTGGAGGGATTTGCAGACAGACTATGTCATATCATAGACTTGCCTACCACCATATGTTTCACTATAATTCCCCACTGTTGTAAAAACAAAACTGGAGATGTGTTTCAGCTGTCTCTTTTCTTTTCCCACATACATATAAAGAGTTATGTTACAAGACAGAGCAAAGACAAGGAGTAAGAACTCACAGCAAATATTTAGCAGGTCTGAGCTATGGGCTACCGAACGTCTAAACTCTTCCTATATCTTCTCTAACACAGAACTTAAATATCAATGAAAAACTTTACAGTCTAAATATGCACAGTATTTCCTCCAAGTTCCAATAAATACTATAAACATGCTAAATAGAACACTGATTGTAAAGGTCATCTTAGAAATAAATGCATAATATGAATGAATAATGTCCACAAAGTGTGAAGAATTTTAATAGCAATTGAAAGAATCATTTCTATATACAGAAATATAGGAAGAGTGAGCTGCAGCAATATTTTGCAATAATCTGTTGTCAGTGTAACATTCCCAACACCATACCAGAGAGCATGAAGAAATATTTGCATGTTGTAGCACGTATAGATAATAAAATAAGCAAATCTTGTTCTTGGCTGACCAGTATGTTAATACAGAGGAGTTATCGTATCATCTGCCCCAACTAGAGAGATCTCTGAAATCTCCCACAACAGGGCAGCTACAAATTTATGATCAGGCAGGGGCACAGGTATGTAGCGCCTGAAGATAGAATTGTGTGTGTTGCCCATGGAAAGTAGAACTGTTATTTTGGAAGTTTTAAAATGAAAGAACAATCCGAGTAGATGCTTTGGATATAATTTATAGGTGATTTATTGAAGGAAAACAGCAATGATGTACAAAGTACTGTAACCCATCAAAATCGGACTTCAGTTTAGTCTGATCAGTGAAAGATAAATTCTGATTGGATGCTGTGGTTTTTTCCACTTTGTTCATCACCATTGCTTTGCCCTATGGAATAGGGCCCCTTACACATGGGCTGATCATGAGAGGATCTGTGCACGGATCTCCTGATCGGCACAGTTTGGATCCGTTATCACTGCTGTAGCATCCATGTCTGTCCAGTTTTTTTCCTCCATCTTGCGATGGAGGAAAGGCCTAATATGCCAGACTCCATGTCAGTCTATGGGGAGTCAGATGTAAACAGACATGTGTGCGTTTCTCTGATCAGGTCCAGTGAAATGGATCTCTGATCCCTTTGTTTCTCTGCACCTGGCCGTAGTCGGGGGTAACCACGTGTAAACAGATGCCCTTCTGCCCATAGACTAGCACTAGGCATTTGAGCAGGTTCACTTAAAAAACTGACAGGCAGACCTGATGAGACCGAATGTGTGAAAGGGGCGCTGGCAATAAAGTTATAGGATGGAAATGGAGAGGCTGTGACCCCAAACTGGCAACTCTAAATTGATGAGTAGCAGAAGAAGCTTCCTTCCGTCAACAAACCCAAGAAAAAAAAAAAAAAGAACATGGACATGTAAAAGAAGGATGTAAGGGCATGTAAAAGCAGATGTAAGGCCCCTTTCACACTGTCCTATCAGATGGGGATCTGTTCTTGGATCCCCCTCCTGATCCGAGAGGTACGGATTGGAAGTCACCGATGTGACATCCATGTCCGTCCAGTTTTCTCCTCCATATTGCAATGGAGGAAAAAATTGAAATGGCTGGACCCCATGACGGTCTATGGGGAATCGGATGTTAAATGGACATGTGTCAGATTACCTCTGTTCCAGCAAAATAAGGTCTGGCAAAAAGGATCTCTGATCCATTTGTTTTTCTGGACCTGGTCAGAGTCGAGGGTAACCAGGTGTAACGGTCTGTATAGATCCTGCTGTCCATAGACTTACATTGGGTATCCGATTAGGTCCACCTGAAAAACTTACTGGTGGAGCTGATCAGACCGCCCATCTGAAATGAGCCTAAGGCCCCTTTCACAGGGCCAGCCCAATATTAGTCTATGAACATCTGATTACCCCTGACTCTATTCAGGTCTGGAAAACAAAACGGAACGGAGTTCCTTTTTGGCAGACCTGATTGTGCTGGCTTGGGTGTAATCTGATGTAAATGGGCATATGTCCTCGTACAACCGTCTCCCCATAGACCTAACATGGGTCCGCTAAGTTCCGTTTTTTCTCTCCATTGTAAGATAGAGGAAAAAGCTGGACGGACATGGATGTCACAATGGTAAAATCTATTCTGTACTGCTCTGATCATCAGGGAATCTACACACAGGCCTCCAGCTGATTGGAGAAGTACGGAACGGGTGTCCCTTTTCTGACATCTATGTCTCTTCATTTTCTTTCCTCCGTCCTTTATATCAGGATGCCCATATAGTTATATTGGGTTTCCGATCAGATCCGCCTGAAAAACTGACAGATAGAGCTGATCGAACCGCCAGTGTGAAAGGGGCCTAAGGCAAACAGATTTTACTTTGTACATTAGGAAAAACACTATTTGAACTTTGAACAACCAACCACAGTAAGCGTTCAGCTTTATTGTTCTTGTATGTACAAAAGGCAGATTTGGCTACAGTAGTTACAATTTAAATTCAACTGGAAATATAAGGTGGTGTTTCATCTACAAGGCAGTTTGTATGCATTAGTCTTTTATAAATCTGCCTAATTACCAAATTACTACCATACTACATGGAAATCCTTGTGTTGCATTTTGCATCTTTATTTGTAGATACATGGGTGAGCTGATGTTTAACCACTGTCCACCAAGTGCTTGTTAAGTACTAGAGACAGTGCCCTCTGTGATCCTGACCTAAAGGCCAGAACTAGAAATCTAGAAACACTCTTATTTACCAGCAGATATTTTATGGCTGGTGTAAAAACCTTTATCTTCTAATATTTTGCAGATTTTGTTTTGTCTAAGACGTTGTTGCACAATAATCAGGAGCAGGGGTGGCAAGGTTGGTTATTAATGACCCTGACCAGAGTTCTGCGTTAACAAGTTATAGGATTTCATACAGCCTACAAATGTCAGAGAGCTGCAGGGAAGGAGGTTAAGCAACACACAAGACTTTTCACACAGCTATGAAAACTCATGAATATTTTATATTACCTAGTACTGAACTTCAGGCAGAGTTATGAAAATAAGCAACTCAACAGCTGTAACAAACAGTAAATGTGAAAGTTTTATGAGGACACTTTCTATTCTGTGTTTTTCTACATGATGAACACTGTGCTTCATCTTTACCTCGATGATGGTATTCCCCTACAAGCGTCTTCATGCGCCTCATCTAGAAGTTTCATATGCTCGCTGTTTAGATGAATTGAGCATTGGTGATGGGGCAGTGGTTTGCCATCAGATGTGTTTGGTATACATAGGAAGTTTGGTAACCGATCTACAGCCACTGTAGGGGGAAGCACATGTTTACATCATTATTCTTTCACAATAGAGTTCCTTTTCAAGTGTTATGTCACAACAGAGTAGACATGTGACAGTATACTTAGAAGAAACTTTGAAAGTGTTCTGGAATAGAAGCAGTGACTAATAAACCAGTTTTCTTCTGTTTTCAGAAAAGTTAAGGATCACTTCTATTTTTTTAAGCTTACAGGAATTTTGTTTTACTTTCCTAAAATAAAGAACCTTGCTTAATCTATAGGGTAGGCCCTGTTTTTTGAGAGCAACCTCACCAGAACCAATAGGCCTTTTCAAGGTCTGATCCAAATGTTGATAAAATTAAATCCAGCTCTTTATTTCTACTTGCTTCGCATCTCAAGGTTTGATTAGCTTTTTTAAAAGTTTTTGGACTTTCAGACTATTTGTTTGGTGTTCTCATTAGACTTTTTAAGCATAAGCCTTGAGATTGGGCTTCCTGTGGCCCACTTAACCTTTGTTATACTAAATTTATGCCCATAATGACCTTGCATACATAACCAGGTCCGTATTGAATAAATAGCACTAGTGGCCCAAGCACATTGCAGTAACATTCAGGATCTGCCAACTGCACATGCACCTCCAAGCCAGTATTCCCAGTGTAGAGTTTTCCACGTCTATAGAAGTTCCTGAGTAGTATAAACAATTATGGTACCAAAAGTAATCATTGTAAAAATTAAATGTTTATACTGTACTATATGGTAAACTACATGAGAGCTAGCGACAAATATAGATTTTACAACTGGTCCTTTCAGATGGTGTACAAAGCCCTCAGTTGACATCAATACAAATACAAAAGCTCTAGTTCTGAGATCTTGAAGCTGTAAACTATTCATATCCCTTTAATACATTGTAATAATCCCTTAAGCAGGGGTGTCAAACTAAATTTCATTGCTGGCCGCATCAGCATTATGGTTGCCCTCAAATGGCCGGTTTTATCTTAAGACATAAATGTATAACTGTATCTACTGTTTATCATATTGAATAATTACATCTGTGTTTGATTATTACTGGTTGTAGTATTAACTAGCTCTGGAAGTAGAAATCTAGGAAAAATAATGGCAATTAGTATAAAAGTGCGAACTCTCAGGTTACTGTGCAGGTTCTATGGTGGGCTATTCTGGGTCTATGGTGGACTGTGCAGACTCTCTGGTGGGCAATGCAGGGTCTATGGTGGGTTGTGCTGAGCCTCAGGTAGGCTATGCAGGTTCTATGATGGGTTGTGCAGACTCTCAGGTGGCCGTGCAGGTTCTCTGGTGGCTGTGCAGGTTTCTATGGTGGCTGGGCAAACTCTCAGGTGGCTGTGCAGGGTCAATGCTGGGCTGTGCCGACTCTCAGGTGGGCTGCGCGGGGGCCTTAGGATGGCTGTATGGTCTCACCAGGGGTCCCGGTCGTTATTGGCATGTGCAGGTGGAAAGGATCTACAGGAAGAAGGAGGCGATTTTCGTTCGAAACTGTAAAAAGACGTTGCTATTCACAGAAAGGCTGCCGGGACCTTGCGTGGGACCTCGGCAGCCTTTCTATAAAGCCCGGCACCTGTTTACAGTGCCGGCATTGGTTTAAAAATGTTAAGCTGCAGGAGAGGTTTAACATTTTTAAACCAAAGCCACATGAAATGGCCCAGAGGGCCGGATTCAGCCCGCATTCCTTGTGTTTGACACATGTGCCTTAAAGTGTTTGATATAAACACATACTATCATCCTAGAAATATCTAAATACTGCAAGGACCCCAAGTTGTTGGTGAAATAAATTGGAAGTGTTTCATCTGAAATCCTTTTCAGTTTTACCCACAAGAGAAACTGAGCTCCTCAGAACTGCTTACCCTGTTACTTTCACAGCTCGTTCGGTATTTAGTTCTAAACAATGTAATAATTACATTTTAATAGTGTGAGGAAATACATTTCGAAAGAGAGAGAAAAATCAGCATATTTGAAGATGGCTTCATCACTCAACATATTTTGTCATTTTGTAACACAAACCAAAATAAATGTGCGGATGATTGTTCTATTCAAACTCGCTGAACGCTATGTAAATTGGAAATGTGTTTCATATAGGAACCAGATCTCATGGCGGATCATTTTTGCTTGCATTCCATGCTATCCGTTACAATAAAATAACCTGTGTATGATTATTATAGCTTGAAACACTGATATAACCATCTGTACTGTATGTGAATTGTTATTGCCCACATGGAAACTCAGTTCTTGCTGAGAATAGTATTTTAAAGAGACCCTGTTCTTGTCCTTGAATGGTGGCTCCATCCCTTGGTCACAAAATGTGGTCAGTTCACTTCTGGACATCGCCATCTAGTTTGTTACATCAGCAGCCACCAAGCAACGCTGAGAGCTGGGTTCTTGCCCATGAGCACATGATTGCACATTTACCAGCACCTTCTCCCTCTCTTTTCATGTATTCTTAATCAGCAATGGAAGCAGACAGTGGAATGACAAGCAAAACCATGCAAAACCTGACTGTGTAGAAGGGCCAAAAAATGGGGATGATGTAGAAAGAAAACCTTCCAATATTACAAACTAATATGAATTGAGAAATTAAACGCAGAACAAATCTGGGCCCAGGCAATCGCACCCTAAACTCTAGTGCTAAAGAACAAGTGAACATAGTCACCCTAATAACACATACCAAGCATTAGAGGATGCACAATAAGTTTACAGCACAGTAGAATATCTCTTTCAGTGGTCATCCGGAGACAACATTGTTGAGGTAAGAAACCATCTCTTTTGAAAGTCGATTTAGAAGCCAAGCAGTGCAAATACTGAAATCTGAACCCAAAACCCAGTAAAACAGAAGAAAGGTAGAAGAAAGATAATTTTGTCATTATAGATAAGAATATCATATATCCTGTAAAGACTTTGGTCTGAATTGTGAGCAGCAGCAATATCAAACTGGGCATGGCAAAGGTCACTGACTGGTTTGGAGGTCATTTTTATTAGCATACTGTATATTCAGTTGTGTCTAGAACTTTAGTAAATGTGTATTAGCAGTTGGAGATGAACATTGCTGGGTAACTGGAGCCATAAGGCGCCTTATGGTACATTATTTGTTAGTTGAAATCCCCTGCCTGCCCCACTAGACCCTGGTGTAAGTATCACATTTCTGAATGTTGCATTTGCATAGACTTGGGCAGGATGGCACCCCGACAGCTACTGAGCCAACCAATAAGCCCAGAAGCTATTCACAGCTCTTATTCCATCACATAGCCCAAAAATAAGGGAATGGGCACTTGCAAATCATCGCTTAATGCCATATTAACTGGATGCTCATCCATTACTGCTGGTGTACAATGCAAATATAGCCTAATATTATAGAGTAATTTATCCCAAACCAAACTGCACACAGCTGTTTGGCAATCATCAGTGCACAGTAAAGAACCTGTAGCTTCTATGAAGAAGGGCTAGGGACCCAATGAGACAGTAATCATCTGACTGATGGGGCATTTGGCTGATTACACTTTACTGCGCCACTCACTGAGTAAAGTGAGTGCTTTTAAATTGCTTTAAACCCTTTTCACCATAACATGTTTGGTTATACTATCTTGTTGGGTCCCAAACCCTACTCCATAGAAGCCATGGTTTCCATACACTGCATTGATGATGGCCAAAAAGTCTGAAACAATTGTCTTCAGTTGGAAATAAATGTCCCTGTAATATTAGGTTATATTTGCACTATACACTAGCAGGCCTAGATGAGCATCTAGCTGCTGGGGCATAAAGCAATGATTTGCATGGCTCCACCCATTTACATTGTCTCATTGGGTCTCAAGCCTTACCCCACAGAAGCCATGATTTGCATGCACTGCACTGCTGATGGCCACAAAGCTGTATGCATTTGAATTCCTTCTGTTCCAAGAAGGCAACACTGTGCTATGCACTAATTTGGTTGGATAGCTTCTAGATTGTTTTTGTCCCTTCACATGTTTTTGTCCCTTCACATTGTTTTGTCCCTTCACATGGTATCATACCATCTTGAAAAGTCTTAGATTAATTAAAAAGAAAAGGTGGTGGCAGCATTTGATGATTGTTACAAGTAGGGCCATATCACTATCAAATTCTTCATGTCTATGACAAATTATAGACATTATACAAGACACAGGAACTCACGGGTTTATAGGTTTTGAAATATGTTAATTAGAGAGGTAATCCACCGTCCAGGACATTTGCAAACTTGGATCCGTTATTTGACATATTAAAAGAAGACACATTGTGGGGAGTCACGAAGTTGCCAAAATATTTCATTAATATTATTAATGGACTTTCTTCCAGAAGCTCACAGCTGCATTATTCCCATGTCTCAGATTAGATCATTAACTAAAGTGTAAATATATTTTCTTTCATTAGCTAATTGCTGTAATTGAGCCTAAAATACCTACCATTTATTTTGGTAACTGGAGATTTGGCATCAAACTGTGAGATCATTGTTATAAAATCCTCTGGCAATTGCTCCTAAAAATAAAAAAAAGCACAAAGTCTTCATCCACAAAATAACACAATAATCAAAAAAAGCACCAGTGCTAACTCAGGATCAATTAAGCTATTGCTGGGTGATGGGAAAACACAGTCTAATCAGTGTCATGGATAAAGACAGCGCTAGTCTTATGTGGCTGCATTCTTGTATGGTTGGAAGCAAGGCTGCCAGTATTGTCATTTGTCTTTGAGCCAATGTATAAGGACAATGTTTCTATAACAGATAATGTTCTCATTATTCTTATAAGGAGACTCTAACATCATTATCAAGAAGCCCAGAGCAATAGAAACAAACATAAGCTGCATATCGAATCCCTTGGAGAGAAATCTGCCATGTGCAGAATTCAAAACCTACATTATCGCTGTAAATAATGTGACACTTAATGTTGCAGAGCGGCATACCTATGTGATTAGACTCTGACAGAGGCAACCATTCCTTGAGTCCTGCATGCTAGTTCCAGGGCAGTGACTCAGTAAATTAGTCTAGTTTCAATGCCCCAGAACAAGTTTATGGTACTTGAGTTGGAGAGTCAAATCATACAGGTATTTTGCATTGTGGCATGATGGTAAAATGATCAGTAGATTTAGAGATATAAGTAACTGAGCACATATGCAAGTCTGGACTTAACCTGTAAAAGTGGAGCTTGTTCCAGACACGTAAGCCTAATGTACAGTCTGTACAACAGAGCTCAAAAAGAAAGGAGCCAATCAGGTGTACTGCAGTGCAACAGCATGCTGATACCCGTGTTTCCCCGAAAATAAGACACTGTCTTATATTTTCTTTGCCCCCCAAAAACACACTAGGTCTTATTTTCAGGGGATGTCTTATTTTTTTTTTCTTTTTTACTGTGCAACAAAATGTACAACAATTTAAAGTTATCTGGTATCACTCCGCCTGCCACAGTAACCGGCGCTATAGAGGAATATCAGCTAATGCGGCTCTGCTCCCTCCGCCGCCGAAGCCTTGCTTTATGCAGCGCTGGCATGCTTTGCCATCAGGGTCAGTGGTACCAGCGGTGCAGCAGTGGGCACATCAGACAGTGGACAGCGTGGTAAAGAACAGTACCATTTACCGGTACACATTACAGTACAGTACCATTACATTATGCAGTGCCTTCAGGGGGACAGCAGTTGGTGAAGTATGGTACTGGCGTGCTCCCTGTCACTGCGCTGCCCGGAGGGAGTCCCCCGTCATCCCCTTAATACAACATGTCCCTGCAGGCTGACACCATCTCTCCTGCTCTTCAAGTTTCCCCTTACATGCTACCACCAAACTAGGTCTTATTTTCGGGGTAGGTCTTATATTACAGGAATCTTGAAAAATAGTGCTGGGTCTTACTTTCAGGGTAGGTCTTATTTTCGGGGAAACAGGGTAGAAGGACAAAGTACAATAACAAAAAGACAAGCTCATAAGTGTGCTGCTTCTCCTTTTACTGTCCAGTCACAGGGAGGGGGTGGGGAGGAGACTTGTTAATTGAAACTGCACAAGAGAAATATCAGGTCCCCTCTCCAGGGTTGTGCTGTGTGCAAAAGCTGTGTAAGTTTCAGAACTGGATGGGCAGAAATACAAATCCTTTGGCAGGTAAAACAGCCCTCATATGTATTTCATCTGTGTATTTAACTGTTTGAAGGGTGTTCCTCTTTAAAAGTTAGAATTTCTCTTGTTCAGACCCATGGAAGTTACACCCCAGCTCCTTCTACAAAAATGGATTGAAAAATCAACTTTTGTCAAGCAGCGGGAGGGGGGGACCACAGTGACATCCACAGCTTGAATTAAGCAGGAATCAGCCAGAAGATATCTTCTTCAACTATGACCACATGCACGCAGTATGGGTCTATAGATTTGAATAGGGCTATTTCCCAAGGCTGAAGGTGTTTAGGAGATGTCCCTATTCAAGTGTAGGAGGGCTCACTGTGCAGGTGCAGCCAGAAGTAAAGCATAAGTTATCTAAACGATGTAAACATTGGAGCAGGCCAAGCCTGTCCTACTCAGGTAAGTGAACAGTTGGGGTGTTAGTTTAGGTCAGGAGGGCTAAGCAGGGCGGGTATGTGTACGTCATCTGAAAGTATGCTCATTATTTAAAGGACCAATAGGAAGGGGCTTGGCTGAGCTAGACTTTTACAGGTAAAAACAAGAATTGCATGCAAAGAATAGAAAGCTAGTCCAAATATATTTGAAAGTACTTACTTGTGGAGTCAGTTTTAAAAATGTGTGATGAGGTGAGGCATTGGACAGGACCAACCTGCTGTGCACTTCTGTTCCATCTTGCAGGAGTACACCATAAGCTTTTCCATTGTCATCCACTAGGATCTGCTCTACTACCTTTCAAAAAAGAGAAAGTTTATAGAGTTACTGGAAAGCCTTAATCTTCTCTTGCCTCTACAAACTAACACAGTTGGAGCTGGCTTCTAAGGGAAATACATTTAGTTTAGGGCTGTGGAAATTAAAGATCAAATTCTCGATTAATCGTAAACTTTTTGATCGATAAAAATTATTTTGATCGCCAATGAAAACAATCACCTCTTCGCCGGCTTCCGGGAGTCCCACCGGCGATGTCACGGACATCGACGTTACTGGACTCCTCCGCCCTTCCCCAAGTGGCTCCGTCGGCTTACAAAGGGAAAGAGGAGGAGTCCGGTGACGTCGATGTCCGTGACGGCTAACGAAGGGAAGGGGGGAGGAGTCCAGTGACGTTGATGTCCGTGACGTCACCGGACTCCTCCCCCTTCCCTTCGTTAGCCGACGGAGCCACTTGGGCCGGTGAGTTTGCCCAAGAAAGTTTCTGCACGAGCGCCAGCCAAGGCATTGGCCTATACACATACAGCACAGCAATGAAGTAATAAAATGAACTAGGATCACACTAATCCAGCACATTATTATTCTGAGTTGCCCCACTCAAGCGGCGGCCATATTGAGTGGGGCACGTGAGATTAATAACGTGCTGGATTAGTGTGATCCTAGTTCATTTTATTACTTCATTGCTGTGCTGTATGTGTATAGGCCAATGTAGTTGGATCTGTATGTGCGTTATAATTAATCGAAATTAATCGATTAAAAAAAATTTCGATTAATCGAACACGAAAATTTTAATCATTACCAGCCCTAATTTAGTTACATCTCAGAATTCCAGTTATTTATGAGAGACAGTGGTAATGAGGCAGTTTGCCACTTATTATTACAGTAGTATTACTATTGCTAAAATGTCAGACATTGGAAGAGTGCATCTCTGTGCTTCCAAAATAGTAAAATGAATATATTAATAGGGTGGGGGAGGGGCAGATAGATATCTGCTTTGTACTTCATCATAAAAATAGACACAGAGGTCACCATCTACCTGTGTCTAAGAAGTAGTGTTTGGAGATTGGCTACACAAACCTTTTCTGTGTAAATCTCAGCTCCTGCTTCCACCGCCGCTTTGGCAATTGCACTGGACACCATGCCCATTCCTCCTTCTACATAACCCCACGACCCTTTCTTTCCTTCTAGTTCTCCCATGACGTGATGTAATAACACATACCTGTGAATGAGGAAACACAAGCGTCATAATTATTTCTAGAACATCTACATTTTGTATTACAAAAAAGGTATTCCAATGTTTTCTTGTTTTGGGTTTAATGATGGCACTTGTATAATTTTGAAACTATACACAATACAAATTCAATTGAAAGCTCAAACACAACTGTAAATGACCAATGCTATATAGGAAGCAGCTTATTGGTTTGCACTAAAACTTGTGCTGTGCAATCCTCACAATGCAAGTAGAAAGTCAACAGTGGGAACTCCACTCATGATTGTCTGAATCAGTTTCACCGTGCTCGAAGAAAAACTGTGGTGTGGCAACAAAAACCTGTTCCTATTTAACTATTGGGGGATGATGACTTGGAAAAATAAAATGAAAACAAAAGTGGAGTTGTCAATTCCAACCAATCAGGTTTCACATTTCATTTTATAAAGAGCATTTCAAAAAGAATTCGGACTGCTGTGGCCAATAAATGTACTTATTGAATGATTCAGCTTATTTGTGTGTAATATTGTAAAGCTAGGCAGATAATCAACAGTCCTTATTGAACAGGTATGCATGCAAGTGAGTCCTGTATTTTTATAGCACAAAGGTGAAATGTAGATATTAGTAAAAGAATACAAATACAGATGACATACCCACTTCCAGGTGTAGATGGACTCGCCATTGCACCGATAACGGCATCTGTAGCCAGAGTACATTTCAAAGGTTCAGACTCAAACCACTGATCTAGAATCTGAAAATACAAGTCACATCATTCTGCATGTTATTTTATATAGCTGTAGGTGAATAAGGCTATCCTTGAATAGGGAGACATAGGCCATCCACCTATAGGGCAACATAGGTCCGTCCACCTATAGGGCGACATAAGCCGTCCACGAATAGGGCGACATAGGCCGTCCACGAATAGGGCGACATAGGCCGTCCATGAATAGGGCGACATAGGCCGTCCATGAATAGGGCGACATAGGCCGTCCATGAATAGGACGGCATAGGCCGTCCATGAATAGGACGACATAGGCCGTCTACCTATAGGGCGATATAGGCGTCCGGGAATAGGACGACGTTGGCCGTCCAGGAATAGGACGACATAGGCAGTCCATGAAAAGGACGACATAGGCCATCCATGAATAGAAACCATCCAATAGGAATCCAGATGGCAGGAAATTCCTGCAGTATCTCTAACTGTTCACCACTATGTACAGAAAAAAATAAAATGTCTTGCCTGAAGTTGAGTTTTAACAAGAGAGGCAGCACAGTGGCTGAGCAGGTAGCACTTGCAGTACTGGAGCTGCGTATAATTTTGAGTAAATTAAATTGGCATTACAGTTTTGGAAGCAACAGTTTCTGCTCCACATAACTTAAAAACTCAAATTGATTTAACACACCTAAAAAGTATAATTTATCACATATGACACATCACAAAAAAGTGCTCATTTCTTCTTATACACTAAATCTATACAGATAGGCTAACTGATATCTGACTCAACTGGTGTTGTTTAATTTCCTGTGTGGAAGAAAGGCCTTGCATTCTACTTCTGTATCAATATCTTGCCAAGAAACCCAATGAATAGTCACAATAGCACAAATAACCAAAGGCCTGAATTGGCACTGCTTCAATGCTACTAGACAGCCAGAATAACACAAGGCAAGGTATGCAGAGGACAAAGGACAAGACTGTTAATGGGAAAGTACCTTACTTAGGACTGAACAATGACAGTTTTAAAATGATTTTTCTTTTCTTAAAGTCTGTTAGCATAAATATAGCATATGAATATTTAGTGTTTTATATCTCAAAGAGGTTACACAAACACTAAACTAATTAAATCCCCCAACAGTCAAATGAGATAGCTTTGTAAAGGTCTGAGACAGATTTAGCAACATAGACGAGACAGATTTTCACTCTAAACATTGGTCAGGGGCATGTTTTATATTGTCACTTAGGGTTGCCACCTGTCCAGGATTCACCCGGACAGTCCGGGTTTTGAATGCTGTGTCCGGGTTTCATGGCAGCAGAAACCCGGACACAAGATGTCAGGCAGACAGGGGCAACCAAAATTAAGATAGGGGCTACTGGCCCCCCACTAAAAATAGTCTCAACTGTGATATTTACATATGAATGGGCGGCGCTATTTGCATATGAATACGCTGCGACTCCTCCCAAGAAAAAATGTCCACGCGTCGCTAGAGTGTTCGGGTTTCGCTTGAAGAAAAGGTGGCAACCCTATTGTCACTGTGTTACTGTAGCATAGCAGAGGAGAGAATTTATGAAGAAAGCTGAACTCTTATAGTAAATCTATCTCATAATCTGTCTCTCTGCTCCTGTTTTGCATTGTCTACCTTTCTCAACAGAACTAAGAAATGTCTCCCAGAGAGTGGCAATGATATGTCCCAAGATGTATGATGGCGATTCATGGAAAGGTTACTCCTCCGGGGACTGTCCTGAGGATGTTGCATGTTCCCAGGATGACTATGACTGGACACCCTGATATGTACTGGCACCATAATTTGCAGGATCACTGCTGTTAATAATATGTTGATAATGATGCCACCACAACAGGACTAAAGGACTGTTACACATGAACAGAATGGACTTCAATGTTTGAGATCTACACAATGCAGACTACAGGATAAGGTGCAGTGGTGAAGCCTCATGATGACATAAAAAAATTGCCCCGACTTCCATGTATTAATCCTTACCTGCAAATAACAGGTACAGGTAACTTTTCCTTTTAGTAACAGTAATGTTTTCAGGTATTGCTGACTATAGTCTATTTCTTTGGTAACTTTATGTATTTTGTCTCCATCTTATGTTTATCTATGTAGTCCCTCTAAAAATTCTTATGGGCATGTACAGCCTTGCAGAAATAGCTATAATATTAGCAGGGAATCGCGTATAGAGATGGAGACAGATTTGTTGTAATAGAATTGTAATTCAGTAGAAAGGAGAGTATTGTTATGAGTCTTTTATTGCAGTGATGCATGAAACCATGATGTATAATATATGCATGAATACAAGATCACACTCGCACATTCCAACTGTTTTATACTGCTTGTGCAGACATACAATTTTTACATCATCTGGCATACAGAACTTTATGAACAAATGCATTATATTTATATGGTTCAGGTACACATTGCTTATTCATAATATTTGTTCCCAATATACAGGTGAAACTCGAATAATTAGAATATCATGCAAAAGTAATTGCAGTAAATGCTGCAAAAGGGGCCCAAACCAAGTACTGAGTACATATGCATGCTTGTACTTTTCAGAGGTCCGATATTGTTCCATGTACAATCCTTGTTTTATTGATTGCATGTAATATTCTACTTTTTTGAGGTTGTGGATTTGGGGTTCTTGGGGTTTTCATGAGCTGTAAACCATAATCATCACAATTATGACAAATCACGGCTTTAATTATCTTGCTTTGCATGTAATGAGTCTATCTCATATATTAGTTTCACCTTTTAAGTTGCATTAGTGAAATAAATGAACTTTGCACGATATTCTAATTATTCGAGTTTCACCTGTAAGCAAAGGCCCACTATAGGTATCAAAATAAAATAGTAAAGGGTTGTTATGAGGTTGGATTTGCTTCCTGCAGTGACCTTCTTTTAAATTAACTTTAGGATGACTTCATGTTCAATGTACAACATCTCATTCATCCAGGTCGTGGTATATCTGTAGAAACTAAATCAAAACAACTGGACTTGCTCTATATTCCTTGAAGACGTTTCGCTGGTCATCCAACTAGTTTTCTCAATTTAGAATTTCTGAATTGAGGAAGCTAGTCGCATTACCAGCGTCTTCAAGAAAAAAACAGTCAGTCCAGTTGTTTTGATTTATTTTCTACAGCTAAGCAGGAAACCAAAAGCTTATTTATATGTGACCATAGCATGGATCGGTTTGCTGCCTTTCACACTGCAATGACAAAAGTGACTTTCCTACGAAGCCCATTGTTTGCAAAAATACAAAAAAGTTGGTTACCTTGGATATAGGACCAGTAAGAACTTCATAATATTTAGGAATCTGACTCCCCAGTGTAATTCCTGGCATGTTAAGATAGAACAAGGAGGAGAAGTGTCAAGGTTACCAATAAATCGGTATTCATTTAATATATTACCTCTGAATAGCTTTCTTAGAGCATGATATACAACTACTATTAGCCTAAAAAAATCAATAGGTAGTATAACAATCACAGCAGGAATTATTTTATGCATCTTCTGCCAGCTGTCATCTAAAATAAAGTGAAAAATAAAAATATATGGTCTTCCTACGGAAGTATATAGTAGCACACACCGGCTTTCATTAAAGGCTGTAGAGTTTTAAGTGACTTCACTCTCTGCGCTAGTGACCCCTGAGTGATGGCTGCTGTGTCTACTGGTGGTGCATCAAGAAGAGGATCTATTGCCGACACCAAACGATTCATAAAGTGCTCATATTTTGGGTATGCCTATAGAGGAAGAAAAAGAACGAAGCAAGTAACCATAATGAGTCATAGCAAAATTACATGTCCTTTTCATATCAACAAATTGTGGTAGTCAAGTAAATAAGGGTATTAAGCAAATTTCTATATACTAATTTAAGCTCTGGTTTAGCAACTTGGGGTCATAATAAAAAAAAAAAGAGGAACTTTGCTACTATCAAATTCTGGTCAAAAAACATATAGAGAATGTTATTGTCAAGTTTTCCACAACCATGAATGGCAAGTGAGGTGCAGGGAAATCAACAACTAGTTTGAACTTTATAAAGCCTTGAATGTTGTCTTCAGTTTGATTGGATCTAATAGTTTAATCAAACTCCAAAAGTACGAGCCAGAGTAAACAATTTCAGGCCAATTCACTTCCAGTAGTGAAGCAACAGTGCAGTGTTTTAAAAGAACTAGGGCACAGCCATCCTTATATAAATATCTTTTAAATCATTTTGCTGATCGACCTTTAGGCCCCATTCACACTTGAGCTGAGCATCTTTGGTTGTTTTTTGAGGATTTGTAGAGGTGTTTTTGCGCACATTTCAGACTTACGCTTTTTTTTATTTTTTTTAGGGATGCACATATACTTTTCGAGTACCAGTGCAGATTCTTGGCATTTTCAGGAGAACTACAAGGGTTGTAGCAGTTGCCGCTGTGACCGGGCTCTGGCACTCCCCCCACTGTCCTGAAATCATTAGTCGATATTGTTTTAGAAAAACTGTCACCTGACAACAAAAATTTATCAGTACTCGTACTTGTAAGTACTCGGCAAGTACTCGTACTCGCAAAACTGGTATCTGTGCATCCCTTTATTTATAAAAACAAAATCATACATTAAAACAGAGATGTACAAATCCCAGGAGCTCCGCGTGCTCCTTACAAATGACAGATGCCTCCTAACTTTTAAATTTTTCTCTAGTCTAGCCCTGGAGCTTAAAAGTATCGGTACATGTACTTGTACCGAGTACTGTACTTGGTATCTGTGCAACCCTAGTTTTTTTAATTATTATTTTTAATTAATTTTTACCACGTTAAGCATGTTATGGGCATTTTTTAGGTGCTTTCATTGATATCTATTTAGGCTAAAACTCTAGATTCTGCAACCAAAAGAAGCTCATGTACTCTTTCAAGCTACAGGTGTTTAGCTACTAGTGACAGAATGCTCAGATGCAGGGCCGACCCTATAATGAGGAGGTTGCCTCAGGGGGCATTTTATTGAGACACATATTGCCTGCCGCCACTCCCACCCCCCCACCAGCCAGGGCATCCCAGGTTTCAGAGTCTCTACAGTGAGGCAGTTGCCTCAAGACAGCATCTAATTGGGCAATATGGGGGGTGTGCCTGCAGCCCCCCTTCTGGCAAGAGGGTCCCAGGTTGCCAAGAGCTCTTAGCAACCTGTGATGCTCTGGCTGGGGTCCCACCCAGCTCACTGACATCACTGGTTGCCAGGAGCTGAGTGGAATGCTCTGGCACCAGTGTGGATGGGGGGAGCAACTCTGAGCCCTTGCTTTGGGTGACAGAATGTCTAGCTTCCTCACTGACCATTGGCATCCTGCAGCGTACCCTCCCAGGACTTGCACCTCCTTGCACACACCCATCCACCCACCCCAGGTGGCAAAAACTGTAGATGTGAACAGGGACCATTGAGAACAACAACTCCTCATGCTGATCATTGTAGCACTTAGGTATTGGAGCTACGAAACGCTCAGGTGCAAATGGGGCCTTGCAGCTTCCTTTCAGTTTTCAGTGTCTTCAGTCCCACAATGCAGGTTTTGGAGATGGATAACGCTGAATAAAGAAATATCTTTTACGATTATCAATAAGCACCTGAGTTGAAATTAGAATGCCAAAACATATTCTGAGAAATATTATATTATGACAATGTTCTATTTTTCTTGCTACCCATTACACAAGGATATGGAATTATTTCTCTTTGTTCTCCAAACACTATGGCAGATGTAATTTTTTTTCTTGCTGGTTTCAGAGTTCTTTTTGAAAACTAGTTGCTCTATATTGTGATTAATATTATCCTTATCAAGCTGGAAAACACAATAATGTTATGTTTATGTTTGCCTAATAGGAAAAAATTAAAGGAATAAATAACACTTTTGTGAAACAAAAAAAATATTAAATTCTATTATCATTAATAATCTATAACATTATATCGGTCATATATTTTGTTTACGTGACAATGCATTATATATAACCTGCAAAAGTACACTTTGGTGGCCAACGTAAAAGTAGATGGGTGAAGTGGCTGCAAGTGCAGAAGTGTGAATGCCATTACAATAGCAACCAGTGGAGAAGTGTGCATTGCATCAATACTGTGGCAGTCAGTGGAGAAGTGTGTGGGTGCAGTGGTGGCCAGTGGAAAAGTGCATGGGAGGTTCTCTGTCACAGCGGTGGTCAATGCAGAAGTGATGTTTGATGCTGTGGCGGACAGTGGAGGCCAGTGCAGAAGTGTGAATCATGTAATGGTGGCAGGTGCAGACGTGCTTGGGTGCAGTGCAGTAGAGAAATGCATAGGGGCAGTAGAGGACAGTGGCAGAACAGAGAAGGTCAGTCATAGGGATGGAGAGGCTCTGAGGAGGACTTTTGAGATGTGATGTGGAGGGGGGGAGTCTGAGATACTTACATACTTAAATTTTCAGACCTCTTGTCAGAGCATGTTCCTGCCGAGGAGTAATGGGGTGCTTCCCCTTTTTCCAGTCTTCTTGCCATATGACAGGTCACAAGATAAAGGGTCAGGGCAGGAAGAAAGACAGTTTGCCTTAACTCTCTATTGGGCACCTGACCACACAGGAGGGTAGCTTGTGGCTAGGGTGTGGAACTACAGTGCATCTGGGGAGTCATTCCCATGCCACCCCAAGGTGCCAGCTCTGGCATTGTCCAGTGTTGGAATCATAAGCAGTTGCCACTTTTCACAACTTGGGATGTCTGGGCAGGCAGTGTTGGGTGAAACTATTCTATGCGGACACGGGCTTTCAATGTTTATCTGTCAAAAGAGCTTTCTTTCACTTTATTGCCACAATATGGTGGCAGACAACGTGGCTGAAAGAAAGACTCAGCAAAGCATGTTCATGCCTAGTACTTGTGGTGCTTATTTGCTATAGGTGGCTGAGAGGCACATGAGCAGCTGCCACTGTGCTGATAGCCCAGGAAGTGAGAGGGACTGGTGCTGTGATACCAACAAAGCTGACATACCTGCTTTTTTCCACTTTTTTAAAATATGTGCTGTACATGATTTAGGTTTGCATAAATGAGAAGCAGGCAAGGCAAGATGTAAGGAACCCTGAACTGGTGATATTGCATGTTTTTCTTCTGTGCTTGGGTAAATCATGCAGAGTCTGCAAATACTATAAATATGATGGGATTCATGGCAAGCTGCACAATCACTACATTCTATAGTGCTTTTATAGATTTGGGTGTGAGGCACTGGTGGGTTGACGATTCCTCTAGCTTGCTTACTTTGGCTCCATTAGCTGTGATGGCTGTAGGTCTACCACTGTGTAGAAAACCTACCATTACATTGTGTGATAAAAAGCTATTTACAATCCATGATACACCATGAGTAGATAGTCCACTTACCTCAGCATCTTTCTTAGAGAACTGAGCTATCTGCTGCTGGTTCTTTACCATATCTAACCCTAGAAGTAGAGACCTTGGTGGCTGTCCCTTCACATTTTCTAACATCGGAGTAAATGAATGAGGATCTCGAAAGTAAATTTTTAACCCATGTTTCTGAAAACAAATAATAAAAAGTACATAAATTCATAATACAAAAAATATGCAACAAATATGTGTATACTGTGTATAATAACGATCTAAATAATGGAGATACATAATCAATGAGATGTAGTCACAACCCTAAATCTCATGATACAAAACAAGGCGTGTTCTATATAATTAATTACAAACTCTTTAACCACTCCAATGTATAGCCATTTTTTTTAAATTAACATACACGTAACTTTCTGTATATTATTAAGCTACAAAAAAAAAAGACTAAAGTAGCTAAAGAGCAAGAGAGTGTGTACATAAGAGAAGGACAAAGGACAGTCTGAAAAGTTAAAGAGGAACTTTACCCTCATCAATGACAACAAAAGCAGCTTTAGAAATGTTTAGTAATGGCAATCTACAAACACATACTTCTACATAATTGCCGGCTATTCTTTGCATACCTTATTTTTATTTTCCTCCCCATTCTTCTCACAGTGGCCATTTTTACTAAGGGCAGATTACTAGATCGCCATTAACTTCCTGGACCTCAGGCACATGTGACCAGAACATGTGACCATGCACATCATCTCAGGGGGAGAAAATGTCTTTGCCTGAGATCTCATGAGATTACAGATGAGATTTCCCAGCAATGCTCTGCTGGTGTCACCTTCCCAGTATGCAATACTTGGGCACATGACATCATTTGTGCCAAAGAGGACCAGGAAGTAAAAAAAAAAAAATTGTAAGTAAAATAAAACTATGTTTTTTTCTAACTAATGAATGCAAGATGATTTCATATCAGCATGCAGAGCTGTATGCTGATGTGATTTTTTAGGCAAAGGGAATAAAGGTCAATTTTTAAGATAAAAGCTAAAATAATTATAAAACTTAGAAAAGTAAGGTAGATTGCTTATATCAATTGTAATGTAAACTAATACTGGCTGCATTGATGTACATTGGGTGAATATGGTACATGCTGCATTTAAAATCCACAGAATCCACTATAATGTGTCACAGTTGCATTAAGGAAAACACTGTTTTTATTTTAATGGACCAAGCAACCCCACTTGCCAGCTCCACTACTGCTAGGACTTTCATAAAACTCTTAATGATCAGAGAGTGAAACTATCAGTTTATGACAGACGGGCCTTTCATCAACAGATTTAAACATGTACAGTTCCTATAAAAAAAAAAATTACTCGAAACCCATTTTCTCATTGCGCATTTACTCAAAACCCATTGCCCATACACTAATCATCTTCATTTAACTACGTATGTGATAATTTAGGTGTGTCATATTTAAAAAGGGTTGCATACTCAGTGGCATTCTTAGTTTTTTTGCCCGCTAAGACGGGTCGAGAGGGGCTGGGGGGGTTTAGGAGGGAGGGTGTTGCTGGATGGTGCACAATCAGGGTGTGGTGGGTAGTGCTAGTGGAGAGTGACACTGCTAAGAGCCATGTAGGGAGATGTATAAGGGCCATACAGCTCTCTCCGCCCAGCTCTTAGCAACCTGGGATGCTCTTGCCAGCATCCCGCTGAGCTCCTAGCAACCAGCGGCATCACTGGTTGCCAGGAGCTTGGTGGGACCATGCAAAAGCGTCCCAGGTTGCTAAGAGCTGGTGGAGAGAGCTGTATGGCCCTTATACATCTCCCTACCAGGCTCTTAGCAACCTGGGGCACTGGCCGAAAAGGGGGAGGCAGGTACACTGCAAACATTCTGCCACGGCCATGCTGCTCTGCCTGCCAATCCCTCCTTGTGACCCAAAGAAATTCCACCTCAGGCAACAGCCTCAGACTAGATCATTATAGGGATGACTCTGTGTATACTAATGCAATCAGTTATTTTTTATTGCAATTAATTGAAATTAATTAATTGAAATAATTTGCAGAGATCCAATTCCACATTGACTTGAAAGTCTAATTCTGTGTCTAAACAGCACATTTTAAAGCAAATAGAAAATAGTCAAAATAGCACATTTAAAGCAGACTTTATTCACACCACATGCTTGGCACTCATTGATACCTGCTAAACGCACTTGAGTTAATGTGTGTTGAGATACTTTTTATTATGTGCTGCCTTGATGTGCTTTTTTTTCACAGAAGATGCCAAAATACTTAATTTTTTCTTGCACATGATCGAATGATGGAAGCCAGCAGATCTTCACCTCATTCACTAAGGCAAATTCCCTTAAAGTGACATTAAACCCTCAGATTTTTTAACATAAAACAATAGTGTAATGTGTGCCTTACTGTAATCCATTGTTGTTTCCCTTCTCTTTGCTGCTCTTCCTTTTAAATCTGTATCTGTTCTCATGCTGGGCAGAACTTCTGTTTTGCAGCAGACTGCCTTGTCTCTGAAATGGATACATGGTGTCTGTGTGTAGGTTTGCAACCTGAGCCAGCACTACAGGAAGAAGCACTCAGCTGCAAAGGGGAGTTTCTTCCCAAGCATGAGAAGACATGAGGATTTAAACGGAAGAGCAGCAAAGAGATGGGAAACAACCATGGATTACAGTAAGGCGCACATTACAGTATTGGTTTATGTTACAAAATCTGAGGGTTTAATGTCCCTTTAAGTGAACTGCCTTGGTGCCTTTAGCAAATCAATTGCAGTAGGGAAGCACTGATACCATCCACACAGCCCACACCGAAGAATCAGTGGTTTGACCAAGCTGTTGGTAAAAGATGGCTGAAATTACAATCTGAGGAAGTCTGATATAGAAGGATCATCCAGTCGAGTTTGTTGGGAGAGAAAGAATAAAAGCAAAGATTGTGCTTCTGTTAAATTGATTGTTTCTCCTGTATTGAAATAGTCTAACATCCCTATTCTTACTAATACAAAGTGATTATAGTCTGTGCTAGCCAAATTATTAGCTTAGCCTGCAATAAACACGTTAGACTCGATCAGCAATAACGACATTTGTTCAGGGGAAGAACAATTGCCCCTTTGTCCTTTTCAGGACTTCTCTCTGCCTGTCCTCCCTCACTACACAGTAATCTAATTATATATATTAAATAAGAATTTGAATAGCTTTTTTTTATCCTAATACATTTTTTATTTGTATTCAATGCTAATAGAAAATGAACAAACCCTATAACCTATAATGCAAATACAAGATGCATTCAATGTGCATTGACAGTCCAATTACAACATTATAAGGGTGATCTTAAGAGAATTAAAGATATTTAAAAATCCAAATATTTCTATGCAGTAGAACTGGGTGGCTATAGTGTCACAGCATTGGTTCTAATGGTTGCTCCTGTTTTTGTATTTATGACAGCACTGGGCATTCTATGGCCACATTATAGACCAGTTGCTGACCTGCGCTCATTTATGGCTGGCTGACAGTGGATGCACTGGCCTCCAAGGCGGGTGCATCCACTGCAAGCCATAGCCCAGCACAGGTCAGTGACCGAACTTTGTCCGGACCACATTTCTCTTTAGTCCTTGGTTGCTAAAACTGCTGGCATCCTATTAACCAATGATGTCACAGATTGTCCTCTGCAGTCATTGGTTGCTAGGAACACTGGGTGTTTCTAACAACCAGTGACAAAGTCTTCCCTCCCCAGTTTTAACCCATCCTCCTCCTCCATCCTCTCCTGCTCCCTCACCTCCTGGCTGTGGCGTTTATAAAAAGAAAAAGTTATGTGGCACATATTTACTATTAATGCCTCTTCCCACTGGGTCTGTTCGTTAATTGCCCGCAACTTCCGCCCAAATTGAGATCTACTGCACCACAACACGGCATGCATTCACTACTTTTTTCAATCACACCACAATGCACAGTATTGTGGTACCACACATTGCGGTGTGATTGATTGCATTGAGGTGCATTTCGGGGTGCCATTCAATGGCGATGCAACGTACCTGCAGTACTGTAATGCACAGAAGGTGCATTGTGCGGTACCGTGTGTTAATCACATGAGAAACTGGGACTGCCGGCCGAACCAATAGGCGCAATTGTTTCGGCCCTCCACAACAGTCCTAGTTTCTTATCTGGCCCCTTGAAAAAACTGATTGCCCACTTAGAGGGTCAAGGATGGAAGGAGCGCTACATTGGGTATAAAGAGAGCAGCAGAGGCATAGTAGAAAAATTGAAAATGGAACAAGGGCTCCTGTTGGACTCAGTAGGTCAGCAGCATAATTTTCTTTTCTTGTCAATTTAAGTTTTTTGCAGGCTATTGACAGAGCTTTTATTTTGCACTTCATGCTGTCCTAAGCAGACTAGAATAAAAAACACTTTTTTTTGTATAAGGTCCCTACCTAGCATCATGCAATTTTGTTTTATTAAAAATGACTGCTAGGCTATGCTATTAGAGGCAGCATGTAGTCTGCTTTGTATTTATAGCTACTTTTTAACTGCACATACCAAAACCCTAAATAAAAGAGATGATTGAATATTTTCTTAAACTCTTTTAACTCCTTCCAACATTCCCCTGCATCCATATTGCTGATTGTAGCCACAAATGATTGATTGAAAAGAAATGGCCAATGGGAGCCATTATAGTAAGTATAGCTTTCACTATAGTAATGGAATCATTATGCAATTCACTGGGACAAGCTTCCTTCCAGTCCAGCCAGAATCTTTGCTATGCCTGGGGGTGAGTTCTTTGTGAGGCAGAGGCATTAATTGCTTATTCAGGTAGGAACAGCCACTGAATGCCAGAACCTGCCTTTAGATGTAGAAGAGACATGGACCTGGCAGAGCTCCAGGGCCGGTTATGCTGGGTGGAAGCCCTTGCCACAACATGCGTAAGGGTGTAAATATTTTTTCATGGCAGCAGCAAGATGAAGTGATGGTCCTAAAGTTGTTTTACTTTTGGGTGCCCTTTAGTACTTGGTCTATGCACTGTCCCATGCAGCCAAAGAAGGACTGGAACAGCTTCCTTTTTGCAACAAGCACTGTGTCTGGCTGCCATGCAACTGGCCAACTAATTACTGTTTCCATGCACAGGTTCTTCCCTGCATTGTTCATTGTCTGCGCTGCCGATGCTACCATTGTGCAAAAGCTATGAAGTTTTTTTTCTGTTATAACTAACCTGCTTTTTTATGTGCTTGGTAAGACTTATGAAAATTCCATCTGTGTCCTAGTTACAATCGGTATAATAAAAACAACTTTCATGATTGTACTCATCATTTTCATAAATTAGTACATACCATAAAATATGGCCCATCGTGTATAATATTTTCCTATTTACTTTGAAATCTTAGTTAGCTTGCAGATCAATAAAAAGGCTAAGCATGGCTGCTGGATCATATGAGCAGCAAATATCTAAATTATTTAACTTGAGAACTGGAACTGAAAGTTGACCCGAGGGCATTCGGTACATGACTAACACACAAATTCACACATTACAAAGAAAATCAGGAAGCATCAGCTCATTTGATATTTCATAATGTAGCTCTGTTGCTGATTCCTAAAAACAGAGCTATTACAGCATTGCAAAATCTGGTTAAATAGCATGATTCAATTCACAGCAGTGACAGAACACCCTGTATAACAAAGACATAACTTTCCAATTTACATGGCTCTCTCAGCTATAAATGAAACACAACCCTTTATAAGCACATTTCACTAGTTTCAAAGGTTTCCCATCTTTTCTTAAAATAAAAAAAGCTATCAGACCTAAGGTGCCCATACACTGCTCGATTCTCGTACGAGAATCGCGGGAAATCCCGCGATAGTACGAGAATCGAGCAGTGTGAACGGAGACGTGCGACCGTTTCTACTGTACGGTCGCACGTCTTCCGTCGAACCAGCATGTTTGAAAACCAGCCGGGAATCGTACGATTCTCGGCTGGTTAGAACGGTGCTCGGAAGACTAATGCCGAACGGGCGCACACTGCCCGTTCAGCATTGCGGTCATCGGAAGCCCGCCGCTCAGGGGGGTGGGCTTGTGATGATCGAGAGTGCGATCTGCCTGTCCAAGATAGGCAGATCGTACGTTTTTTTAATCCCTGTACAACCATCGCAAGACTAAGGTCTTGCGATGGTTGTACAGTGTATGGCCACCTTTAGATATATGGAAGTCGGATTGTTTTTGAAGATGCAAGCTGTTGGACTGTTAACCTTATCCATGCTTCCCAACTGTTGTCAGTGAGAATCAGCATGCAACCAGAAAGGAGGCTCATTAAGGAGTGAAGCACAAATGATGATAGCCCTGGAGCCTGCACATTCAAAAACACGTCAGCTGTGGCAGCTCCCATATTTCTGCACGGATAGGTTACTTAGAAAACAGTGTAAGTATGTAGTTAATAGACCTGTGCGATTCGTTTCGTTCCGAATCGAAATTCAGACGAAATTTCGGAAATTCGGAGATTCGGATGTATCAGGGGTTATTACAGATTATTACGAATTACAGAAAAAAAAGTTATTATGAATTACAGATATAACGGATGCAAACGAATCCGAATTTCTGATTCCGAATTTCCGATTAATTTTTTCGCGAAAATTCGTGGTAGCAAAGTGACATTTGAGAACATAAAAACTTTTTTCCCCTCTTAAATGTCACTTTGCTGCAATGAACAAAACAAAATGAAAACGATACGAAAGTTCGTACGGATTTCCGCTAACGAATTTAGTCTGAATCCGAATTCCGAAACGAATTGACTTTCGGACCCGAATTCCGAAAAACGAAATAAAGCAAAATCCAAATCAAATCAAAACGAAACTAAACAAATGTTTTGCTGGTGCAAATGTCTAGTAGTTAATCTCCTAAATTCCTTCCCTATTTTTGGGACTTCTGTAGTTAGCAGTGGGCTGTACCAAGCCTAACTATACCTCAATAGGAGTGTTTCTGCAATCTCAGAGTGTATTTTCTCTGCTGCATGACGTTTGAGCTTGCTCCGGTAGGGTGTGCTAAAGAAATCTTACTCTGTGTTAGGGATATCTGGCCAATCTGTGGGCATGGGGAACCTGCTTAGGGAAGCTAGGAGAACTATTTAATATCTAAGCTACTTTCTGTTCCGTCTCTTCTCTCCTGGGTTTTTACCCTGTGAGGATGTCAGCTTTTTCAGTCTCTCCTAGACATATGGAGAGATGAATGGATCTCCCCTTCTGGGAGAAACCCCTGAAGAACTTGGCTTCTAGAAGAAAAGAGTGTATGGCCTTGAGGAAACAAGCTGCTTCTGTCCCTCATATATGGAAACGTGGTGAGTGATGGTTGGGTGGTAAGTTTTACACAAGGACCTTGCTATGTTTGCCTGCCTTGGAAGTGAAGCTGGGGATGCCACTAGGACCCCAATTGCGAAGGAGCGTAAGCTTCGATAGGGACCAGCAAGCACAGATAATAACCAGAGACTTTAATGAAAGGTCTAGAAGAGATTGAGACCTAGTTCACAGAATGAGATCCAGTATGCTGTAAGATATCCTGATACACACCTCACCCTCTTTTAATATTGCCACGTGCAATAAAACCTTTTATTATCCATTTTAAATCTACTAGTGACTGGCACCCATCCTTCTGAACAACCAGAGAAAAAGAACCATGACTGAGGTGAATGAGGCTGGAACTTTAAGTGGATAGACTTAAAAGGAGAACTATGGGGTTAGGGCTTTTCCCCATAGTTCGTCTTAGGGTAACGGGAGGACACAAACTACCGTCCTCCCGTCACCCTAAGCTCAGTATACCACAAGCAACAGCTCGCGGTATACTGAAACGCTGCAGTATACCGCGAGCTACAGCGGGGAGCAGGCAGGGGGGAATCCAGCCCCTCCCCTGTCACGGCAGAGAGCTGCAACAGGATCGAGAGGTGAGCGAACGCCGGTATGTGTTCGCTCACGTCCCGATCTACTGAGCCAACCTGTGATACTCTCATTGTCACAGGTCGGCTAGAACTATGAGGTGAGTGAAAAGCACTCATCTCATAGTTCTCCTTTAAAGCATTTATAATGCAGCTATTGGGTAGCGAAAGAGCCATATCCATGTCCCTGCCTGGTAACCAATAGCGCTACAACAGAAACAAACGTTACCTTCAGTTCCAGATCTTTATAAATCTGTGGTCTCAGGAGACTGAGTAGATATGATGCTCTAGAGAATTTAAAACCTAGAAGAACCAAGACAGCAGATTTTAGAGGAAACATACTACTGATCACTTTATTGTGCTTTGTGCCTGAAACGAAAATTGAGCATAAAATGTTTTTAAATAGACAAGGTGAATACGGTTATTGGTTCTACCATTGATGCAGGGTTTTTTTTTGGAATGTCAACTGATTGGTATCTGTACTTTTGTGTACACAAATGCAGGATTGCAACAGTCAGCCAATATGGCGCCAGAGTATAAATATGGATGGGTATTATAGGATGGTATTTCTCTATGGCCTTCCTAATTCACACATGGCTGTAAAACTATAAATGTTAACAAAATACCTCAAAATGTAGGGCTATACAGCGTCATGGCTATTTAAAATGGAACGCCATGCTACTGAATGATGGTATGTGGGTGTATAGAGACACTAAACCTCCTGGAGTATTTTCATCCCATACTTATATAGCCAAAAATGGTTTGATAAAGACCATCAAAATCAATATAAAACAATATACAAATATAGAAAATGTATAAAATATGCAAAAAGGAACACATAAACCCTTTTTAGTCTTTCTGAAAAAAGGGTGTAAGGTGTTTGCTGAAGTTCCACTTGTGAAACAGCCTATGAAAATGACACTAAACTCAGGAGTTAAATCTTAGAAATTTATTCAAGTACTAATAACTATTAGGACAAATGTATCTTATTTGTGTATCAATCGGCTGTAGATCCTCAAATCATCTCTGAATTGGTGCTGACACTGTCCTTCCTTCTGGAGGGGGGCTACTTTTGTTCCCCATGGTCCCTGTGTGTGGTGAAGTAGTCTCTGCTCCAAGCTTGCTCCCGTGATTGACTATAATTTTACTGCAACATAGTAAAAACTTAACATGAGATTGTAGTCCATCACATTTCCATTTTTAAGATTTAACTCCAGAGTTCAGTGTCACTTTAAATAAGTTTACAAGAGCGGTTTGCATATAAATCAAGGACACAATATAAACACGACACAATATAAACACGACACAATGGGGTTGATTTACTAAAGCAGTAGAGCATGTTCACTTTCAAGATGAAGTTTTATTTCTGAAAGGTGAATGAAAATTCACTTTGCAAAGATGATTAAAAAAAAAAAAGGTTTTTGCTTAGACATGATTGAATGATTGTCAGAGTCAGCACAACTTTACTTCATTTTCTAATCTATTTAATATTAGATATTAGTTAGTTGGAAGGAGGTGACAGGTTCTCTTTATGGGGAGATCAGGGGTCTATTAGACCTCTGATGCCTCTCCTGCTCTCCAATACAGATCATCAAGCACAGGAATGTGCTTGATATTCTGTTTACCCGACACTTCGACTGGCTTCTGACAGCTGAAACAGGAAGCATAGCGAGCACAGCACTTCATGCTTCAGTGATCACAGAGCAGATCAAGGAATGGACATTCCCTGGTCTACTCCTGTTCTCCATCCTGACACTATTTGTGGCAGACCCAAAAACCATGGTGGGGGTAGTGGCATGATTGTGGCTAGTACAAGTGATCTGGGTGGCTGTACAGCCTCCTAGGTAGATCAGTGGTAGTTATAGCAGTGGGCCCTACCTTATGTCATTGGTTGCTAGGACGACAGCGGTCCTAGCAACCAATGACTGAAGCGGAGGGGGCCTGTGCTGGGTTATGGCAGGAAGTGGATGCATTGACATTGGAGGCCGGCGAACCCACTGTCAGCCAGCCATAACCCAGCGCAGTTTGGCGATCACAGTCTGGACAGAACCACCACTTGGTCCATTGCTGGACCACGGTCTGCCATTTAGTGACCCCTGCTCTAGTCCATTAGTAAATCAGGGTTCTGGGATATACAGTATAGTAATGCGGCAGTCCACTGCCACTACAGTGCTTTACACCAATCTTCCAGGTGCCAGTACCGCATTGTGCTGTGTGACTTCCTTCCTGCTATGAAAACATAGAGGGACACTTGACATCACTTATGAGAGGGAGTTTACCTGGAATGATCTCTTCTGTAACTGCTGCTCCTCCAATCACGTGTCTTCTTTCAAGAACCACGGCACTCAATCCAGATTTCTGCAAATAAGCTGCCTACGAAAGGCATAAAACAGGATGTAAATATATTTTTATTTTTACAAGGCATTTTCAAGAACAGGAAACACTTTGGAAGTTGAAAGGGCAAGTTCACCTTTTCAAAAAATGTGAAAAAAATGAACCTACTCATAGCCACCTTCCCATCTCCACCAGACCCTGCTGCACCTTCCTCAGTCCCCGCTATGATGCCATTGTCAACTGGTGTAGTGATCCGTACACTTTACACTAGAATTGACAGCCCCGCAGTCGGGAATAATCATAACGCTTACAAACGGTGAGCGCTCATTGGTCAGTCACATGACCACACTGACAAATAAGAAGTTTGTCTTATTTCTGGAACCTGGTCCTTGGCTCTGAAGTTTCTCACTGGTCAATGGAGGGGAAAGCCTGAATAAAAAATATATACAGAAGCCTGCAGGGAGAAGAATCCCCCACCCCCCCAAACATGTAATATGGTAGTATAACATATTGCATTACCCTTTCAGCTTTCAAGATATACTATACCTGGTATGAGATGTTTGTTGGTGACAGCACGACTTTGTATACAGATTATTAAAGCTGATCTGCAGCCCCCTATGTAAAGTAATATTTATATTTATAATGTCCAGTCATGCTGTGAAATATATTTACCTGAATATTTCAAGGTTTTCCATTTTCCCATATGGACAGTCCAAGCAGAGCAGCAGGGAAATGTCTGTGTCACAGACTCTGCGACCACTAGGTACAGAAGCCAGGGGTGTATCTACTGCGAGGCAAACTAGGCATTTGCCTAGGGCGGCACTTTCCAGGGGCGCGCCAAAAAATGCTGCCCCCAAACCAGTTAGGTGAGAGAAAAAAGAAAAATTATATTATAAATTATTCATAAATTACTGCCAGTACTCCTGGACCTGGTGCTTCTTTCACTGGGGGATCAACGTGTCCACCTATGCCGCCTACTTCTACATGTATGCTGCAGCTCCTTCCTCTTCATGGTCAATGTGCTGTGCAATGTATTGGTGTGTGTGGAACAAAAAGGGGAGAGAGCAGTGTTCCAAGTGGGGATCACTGCAAAAGTGGTTACTAATAGACCGAGACCGATGATTTCTTATAAAAGTATAAACTTTATTGTGATGCAAAACATCAATTACCGCACCATCAACACCGCTTCTCAATGATTTCATAAAAGAACAGCGCTGTTCGTAGCACTCAAACACTCATTCACTCATCCTATGGGCCCCACACAGTCTACGGCACCGCAAAATCTTTAAGGGTTTAAACAAGGGAATATTCCCAGTTTAACACCTGATTCCTTTCAGTAATTATGCCCCCATTAGACATGAAATAGCCCTGCACAGGTCTCCCCCTTGAACACACACAACATCAGGAGAAAATTATTGTTATGGGAAAGTTAAAATAACCTAGTAAACAAAGTGAATGATACATCCCAAAAAAATAGACCAACGAGAGGTGGCTGTGTGCGGAGGTCAAGGAATACATACTTGACTCCACTGGATCACATCAACCTTAAATTATATCAATCACAGAGACTTCCTCTTTCAAAGAATCTACAAACAGACATCACCCACTACAATCTTGGTTGTATCACTTGCTATTTTTTTTTTGCATAGATAGTAAAAAAATTAAAAAAAACCTGACAGGGATTTTAATCCCTCTCCACTCTATCCAAAAAAGTTTGACTTCAGTTGCTCTTTGATTGTTGCAGTGTTGGATGTTTTCATGCCGGATTAGTCTGCTTTTTAGAGTTATTTACAGAAACGTTCACAAGGGGTCAATGTGTACAGTTAATAAATTACTGTACATTAACTGTGACTGATTAATCAAATCCTTGTTTAATAATTATTCCTTACATTGCTGGTTTTAATGTAGTCAGCGAATAATTTTTCCTAATGTCCCATGGCCAATCTATCACATATAAGCAACTCAACATCTGATGGAGCTAATATGATAATTTCAAAGCACTTGCAGATTCCAACTTACCGCCACTAGACCATTGTGCCCTGCAATAGAAGAAAGGAAATAATTGACTAAAACGGAAAATCATCTTTTCCTAAAATATTTGCTGCTGTTTTTAAAGCTGCAGTCAGCTGTAACATGTAAGCTGCGGAAAAATTTGGTTTGGTTTTATTAAGATTTTTTGTTATTTTGGAATTTGAGATTCGGATCCGAAATTCAATTAATTTTGGGTTCCCAGGCGAAATCTGATTTTTTTGTTACTTTTGGATGAGTTTACAAATATTCGTTGCAAATACCACAGAAAACCATATACAGATATTAATACTAAAGCTGAATCTCCCAGACCCGAATGGCATTCGGGATCTGAATTTCCGAATAGCATTCTGGAGCCCCCGAATGCCATTCAAGTCTGGGAGCATCAGCTTTAGTAATATACAGTATATATATATATAATGTCTCCCAGACCCGAATGGTATTCGGGAGCTCCAAGCCCCGAATGCAATTCGGAAATTCGGATCCCGAATGCCATTCGGGTCTGGGAGCCTCAGCTTTAGTATTATATGTATATACTGTATATGGCTCCTATGTTGCCGTAACGAAAATTTATGTTAAGACCCATTCGGATGCATTACACCGAAAAACACATCTGATTAGCCAGAAAAGTCACATGTCCGATTCAGTTTAGTTTTCGAACGAAATTCGAACGGGCTCCGAATTTCAGAAATGGAAATTCGGATTCGGACACATTTGGATGCATTGGGATTCGGAAAGTCGAATGTGTCCGAATGTCTTAATTTCGGAAAATTTGTCAGAATTTTGATTCGGAACTAAACAAAATCGCTCATGTCTAGTCAGCTGCCCCCTCCCCTCCTCAGCTGCATTGCAAACATTAAATGTCTTTTTCATCTAGGGGGCACTGAATACAGTGAAATATTTACCTTATTCCTCCCTCCCCCAGCAGCCAGCGCTTTTCTCTGCCATTCGATGTTCCCCCTTTGTAGGTGAGCTCTCAACACAATTGCATACAATCCAGGATTATGACAAAGAGGAGCGGCTTTGGGGGATTGGTTGTCAGTGGGAAAGGAAGCCGGGGTGATCGAGGAACAGGGTAAGTATTTGACCTTATACCTTATCCTCTAGACATACAATTACCCCTGGAATACTGGGAAGCAGGGGGGAGCTCTGCAAGGTGAACTTTTCAGGTTTAAAAGGTTAGGTCTATACAAAAAGACAAAGTGAAGTTAGTGGGTAACTCAGCCCAACATTTTTATTTGAAATAACACAGTGGAGACTGTAGACTATAGCAGAAAAAACATGGCCCCTTATCAAGCAAGGCACCTGAAAACAGGTCATGTTGTTACAGTGAAATGTTTTGAGTCCTATATGTGGAGCTGCAACTAAAAAAAATAAAAATGAATAATTACTAAATCTCCTGGAGTTTTTAATCATAGTCAGAGATACACATACATACACTACCCAATATAATAAAAGTGCCATCTAATATAATAAAAAACTGGTCAACGGTGAGCAAATTAGAAATTGGAATGCAAATGTAACAAGAGAATAATTCATAACTGAAATGATACAAGATTCTTGGTTCTTAGTAATATCCATGTGCCTCTGCTACCCCCAGGCTCCAGTATGTGTGTACAATAAAACTCCTGCTGTGACAGTGCTAGTAAGGCAAATACTTTTATCTAGGCACATGTTTTGTGTAGAACAGTTATAAGATCCAAGGTCGATCAGTCTTCTTTTTTTTAATTAGTTTTACCCACTCCCTAAATGCTGTTCACTAGGTAACATACCTAACTTCAACCAAACCTACCAACTTTCTGAGATGAGAAAGAGAGACACCTTCCAGCACAATGTACACTGCCTGGCCAAAAAGAAAAATGTTCTTTTTGGCCAGGCATTTTCCATGGCATCGTTTCGATAAGCTTGACGAGGGAGAGTTGGACCACTGCATAATCTTCTCCAGTACATCCCTCTTTCACAATTTGAGCCCGATGAATCCTGGCATTGTCATTGTGGAATATGCCCAATGTGCCATCAGGAAAGAAAAAATCCATTGATGGAAAATCCTGATCATTCGGTATATTCAGGTAGGCAGCTGACCTCATTTTTTGGGCACATAACATTGCTGACCTGACCAACTGAGATAACCCCAGATCACAACACGTATCCAGTGGAAGGATCTGACCTATTTGCTTAGCTGAATCCAGGTGGTGACTTTATTTGCACAGGCAGTGTATTAAAGGAGAACTATGGGGTTAGGGCTTTTCCCCATAGTTCTCCTAAGGGTAACGGGAGGACGCAAACTAGCATCCTCCCGCTACCCAAAGCTCAGTATACCGCCAGCTGTATACTGAGACGACGCAGCTGAAACGGATCCCGATAATTATGTCTGGATCCGCCCAGCTGCATGAGTGACAGCTGGCTCTGCCTATCTAGAGGCAGAGCCAGCTGTACCCGCCCTCTCCCCGTCCGTTCCGCCCTCTCCCCGTCCATTCTGCCAGTCAGCTGGAGGATCGGACAGGGGAGAGGGGAATCCAGTCCCTCCCCTGTCACAGCTCACTGCAGTGACAGGATCGAGAAGTGAGCGAGCGCTGGTATGTGTTCGCTCACTTCCCAATCTACTGAGCCGGCCTGTGAAAATTGTCACAGGTCGGCTAGAACTATGAGGATGAGTGAAAATCACTCACCTCATAGTTCTCCTTTAAGGCAATGGATACACCTGCCATGGCTCCAATTATGTGGACCATTAAGAATTAAGATGTCAAAAATGATTGGTTGCACCCAGAAAATGTTTCTTTCACCGTCAGTTTTCCTTTATACTGGCTTTTCGAAATAGCAAACAAGATAATTAAGTGATGAGGTTAAGGTTTTAGTGCAGAATAACAATTTTAGTAGTTAAATAGAATATTTACATAGAGATCTGTAAATTAGACAAAAAGGGGGACAACTGAGGAGGAAAGAGGGATAGAGGGATTTGATCCCAAATAAGTGACAGTCTCTCCAAATGAAGAACAGTTGAGAGGTATGCCTTCAGCCCTGATCCAGCAGTCTTCAGCTATTCCTTCGAAAAAGGCTGCTTCCGACCCAACTCAATTCATTCCTATGGGAAACAGGTCATGGCAGCCTCAAGTGATTGCTTGGTATAAAATTTCCTAAAGTAGGTCTGTCCTGTAGAAATTAAGTGGACCCACAGCATGTATCCAAAGTTCAAAGTGTTTATTTTTGGAGAAAATGCTACGCTGCTCTGCGTGGGGTTGCACAGTGAATATTGCTAAATCCATGGTCTAGGTAAGTATGTCACCTAGTAGGCAGCACTCAGATGGGTAGGGGAAAGTAACTGATTTTAACATGAGGACAACAAATACACACATCTATTCTGCAAAACTTGGATTACTCATCAAATAAAATATACTATTAGTGGCTAGTGAAACAAATTGATGATTGCTGTGCCCTAAGCAATAGTGTCCTCAACCTAAATTTACTGGTGCTGGCTTGTAGTCAGTGGAAGCTCAAATTGATAGATATGCTTTCCTTAGGTTTTCCCTAAGCTCATTGTTATGGTTTGCTGGCAATAGCGTGAGAGGATGCAATAATGATAAAGTATGAATATGTAAGTCTCACTGGCCAGCCACTAGTGTTTATTGCCAGTGGTGCATGTTGGGAGAAGGATATAAATATTCGGGGTGACCTTGCCTTCTGGGCTGTAGGAGGCTATGCTGGAGGTCTTTGCCTCTCAGGCCTGCTGCCTGGGGAGAAGGTTGCTAATGAGGGGCCAGGAGGATTTCCTCAGTCCTGCTGGAGGGTATATCCAAGAGAGGAGGTGCATGAAGGTGGCTACCTGGATTGGAGCACAAGGAATTAGGACTTTGCTGCTGAAGATTGTTTGAAAATGCTGGGTACAAGATGTGGACATTGTAGGGAGGGCTAAGGAAAGGTTCTTGCCTCCAGGCCTGCTGCCTGTGGAGGTGGTTGCTGATGAGGGGACCAAGTCTGGGGTCTGGACACTTTTTGCTGTCCTGCTGGAGAGTATATCCAAGGGATGAGGGGCATGAAAGTGGCTATCTGGATTGCAGCATAAGGAATGAAGACTTTGCTGGTAAAGAGGGTTCAGAATTGCTGGGTACAAGCTGTGGATATTGCAGGGAGTTCTAAGGAAAGGTTCTTGCCTCCAGGCCTGCTGCCTGTGGAGGTAGTTGCTGATAAAGCTTATTTGAAGCTGCTCTACAGTCTAAAGAGTACAGAGTGCGGGTTCTGGCATAAAGGCTCTTTTTTTGCATTAACTATAAGTAGAAAATTGGGGCCTGCATTTTTGGTCATTAGTGGGTATCCTGTGCCCCAATCCTTCTCTCAATGAATTCATTGTGCTCTAATAAACTCTGCTAAACTTACTAAACTGCCTGGCACCCCACAAAGAGTCAAGAATTCCAACTTGAGATTTGAAATGCTAGCCCACTAAGCGGTCTAGGGGTGCCAAACCACCTCCATGGGGTAAGAGGGTGCTACATCAGGACATTTTACCTGCTGTAAAAGTTTATTGTTGCTAGAGCACATCTAACTAGCAGAAATCTTTTCCACCAGCATCATAGCAAACAACGCTTTGCAAACATTTGACAGTCTTCTACATGCAGTGTGATTTTTATAATCAGTGTATCTCCACAGGCTTACTGAGAGTAGAATGTTAATCTTTCTTACAAACAAGGCCACAGTCAGAAAAATCAGAGTTCTAGCTTAGACGTAAACAAGCGATTTCACCAAACAATCCGGTTAAATAAAAACTGCTTGAATAGAAAAACAGAGCTGTTTACAATATAAGGGAAACGAGGGGGGAAAAAAAAGCCAAAATCAGAGCTGAAATACAGCGCGTGAAGTTGAGGCCCTGGAGAGGGGCTTCAGCTGCCTTGAAAGCAGTTTAGTTTATATTCCAAGCTTTTATCTTTAACATTATTGATTTATGTGGTGCTAAACATCTTGTTCAGCAATGTACAAAGAGGGGACATACAGGGACTATAACAACAACATTAAAATATGCACAAATACATAAAACAATAGGAAAGAGACCGCTGCCAAATAAATAAAAAAATACAGGGATTATTGCAGATCATTAAGTCTCACACTACATACTCACAGCTTTTTAATATTAAAAATACTTATTTATCAATATACACTTGCTATGATATCCTAATCCTGACAGCTATGTGCAAAGGATTACAGTAGCACATTTCTTCCGCAAGGTAAACAATGTAAAACACTTCCAAACTATCTAGGAACATATCCAGGACTACATAATTATTGAAAGTAGCAATCCACATAAATCGTTACCTCCTCCAATGATCACAGCATCATATTCCACTTTCAGCTGTGCTGCTATTTTGGAATAAGCTCTTAGGCCGAGGTATCGGATTTGCTTCATACATTGCATGCCCACGCCGGTCATCTTCACACATTAAAGAAAATGTGCAGCTGTAAACAGGCAGCGTTCCCTTCAGCTCTGGCTGAGAAGTGGACTTTGAGGTTCGCGATGTTATTAACCTGAAATTTGACAGCAGTATATCTTTTTTTTTTTGCCTGTAGTAGAGTAGTTATAAGAGAGCCTTTCCAGTACAGCCCAGCATGTAATCATTAAGTAAGCAAGTCTCGAAAAAGAAAGCCGGAGTGGAAAGTGAGGCTTAAGTATTTGTGCTCCATCCTTGTTGGATTATTGGAAAGGGAAGCTCACTTCGAGGAAAGAAAAGCTCAATAGGAAATGCCTAATCTTACAATGAAGGAATTTCAACTGCCAGATGGATATAGATACAAGAACATAAAAAGCAGATGCCTTTTTCCTTTTTTTGTTAGCATACTGAATCACATATAGTTTTCAAGCATTAACACTTAGTTCGATTAAAGAGTATGGTTTATTTTTAAATTACCAGGACGTGTCTTTACATAGGGGCATAATTACCCAAATAAAAGTCAAGATGCATAAAAAAGCAGCAATAGAAACAATTCCATTTACTTAGGGCTGGTCTTAGAGATGGTCTCTTACCAAAAATTCTAGCAGTAGGCACCTGGCCAGATAAAAGTAATAATGCAAGATGGTATCTTACCAAATTCCAAGTAGGAAACACCTGACAAAATAGAAATGACTATATGAGATGGTCTCTTAAGAAAATGCATGAAGTACCTGGTCAGATAGAAATAATTATACAAGATGATTTCTTACCAAAATCCGTGTTGTTGGCACCTAGCCATATAGTAGTTATATGAGATGGTCTCTTACCAAACTCCTAGTAGCAAGTACCGTGGCCAGATAAAAGTAATTCCATGAGATGCTCGCCTACTAAAAATTCTAGCAGTAGGCACCTGGCTAGATAAAAGCAATGATATGAAATGGTCTCTTACCAAAACCCTAGTAGTAGGTACCTGGTCAGATAAAAGTAATTATATTAGATGGTTTAGTAGTAAGTACTTGGTCAGACACAAGTAATTCCATGAGATGGTTTCTTAACAAAATCCAAGTAGTAGGTACCTGGCCAGATAAAACTAATTATAGAAGAGGGTTTACTAATAAGTACCTGGTCAGATACAAGTAATTCAATGAGATGCTCTCCTATTAACATTCTAGTAGTAGGAACCAGGCCAGATAAAAGTAATTATATGAGTAGGTTTTGTAGTAAGTACATGGTCAGATACAAGTAATTCCATGAGATGGTCTCGTCCAAAAATCCTAGTAGTAGGTACCTGGTCAGAAACCAGTAACTTTATGAGATGGTCTGTTAGCAAAATCCTTGTGGTAGGTACCTGGCCAGAAAGCAGTAACTTTATGAGATGGTCTGTTACCAAAATCCTAGTAGTAGGCACCTGGCCAGATAGAAGTAATAGTATGAGATGGTATCTTACCAAACTCCAAGCAATATGCTCATGGCCAAATAGAAGCAAATATATAAGATGGTCTCATACCAAAATCCAGGTAGTAGAGATCTGGCCATACAGGAGTAACTATAGGAGATGGTCTTTTACAAAAATCCAGGTAGTAGGAACCTTGCCAGCTAGAAGTAATTATATGAGATGGTTTAGTAGTAGAGACCTGGCCAGATAGAATTATATGATTTGGTTTAGTAGTAGGTGCCTGGCTAGATGGAAGTAATTGCATGAGATGGTTTACTAGTAGGCACCTGGCCAGATAGAAGTAATTCTCTGAGAAGGTCTCTTAAAAAAATCCAAGCAGTAGGCACCTGGACAGAAGTAATATGAGATGGTTTAGTAAGGGGTACCTGGGCGGATAGAAGTCATTCTATGAGATGGTTTAGTATTAGGTACCTGGGCAGATAGAAGTCATTCTATGAGATGGTATCTTGCTAATATCCAAGTAGAAAGAAAATGACTAAATCTTTTAATGGTAACCGTAACTCAACATAAAGTTCTACTCAAGCGACTAGAATTCCAGTTAGCATTAAAAAAAAAAATGGAGCCACATACTCTGAACTACAAATTTGCAAACCTTGTTAATTTATTAAAACAGTCAGGATTATCTTTTTTAAATGCAAGCAGTGTATATGCCTGAATCCGGATTGCTATCAGCCTACTGCAATCCCCTATACAGAAGAGCGCAGGCTGGGAGAGGGAGAAGTGGTACAGGGAGGCTTGCTCAGCTGTCAGATGTTCACCCCCCTGCCGCCTCAATAGGTAGACATGAGATTATTTGATAAGCATTTCTGAAATTTGTATGCAAGTGAAACTCAACTTCAAGAGAACTTTTAAAAAAAAATCAGTTCTCTAGGTCAGCAACATACATTGCAGAGTTTCAGCAAATTTTATTGCAGAGACTTCTGGTCTATTGAAAATGACACCTGGTCTTCTGGTTACGTTCTACTTCCCACTCCCCGCTCCACCCTTCGGGCTTCTCCAAGCCAGTTGATGGTCAACGAGTGGAGACTGCACTGTCCCTTGTGATCTTGTACTGGACAAGAAGTTCAGGGAACCCAAGCTGAGAGAGTTGGAGCTGCTTGGAAACATGATGATTAAGTGCTTAGGAAAAATAGTTTAATACTACTTTATATTAAAAGTTATAAAAGGCTACTTTTTAATTAAGAAATAAAATAAAAAAACAAACAAACAATCTAATAGGCTGCTATAGCCAACAACTCCAATTTTGGTCCAGTTTTCACAAATGATCCATTTATGCAATGCCAAGTAAAAAAAAATAAATAATGTCATCTGAACAAATTTTTTGACATCTAATCTGACTGTCGTTACTATAACTCTATCTTTTAGACATGTGCATTCGGACGAACCTGCAAATCAACGAGATTCAGTTGATTCAGCGAATCAGAAATAACAAATTAATTAAATGCCCAAAATATACAAAAACTATATTCGGGCATACATAATTTTGTTTGCAGAACGCGCGGCGGCCATGTTGGCCGCCGTCGTGTTCTGCATATGCCCGCCGTCATCTTGGAGGTGGAGCACTTGACATCGCATGACGGTGACGTCATACGCTGAACGAGCGGTGGCCATATCGGCCGCCGGCGCGTTCTGCTCAGGTGCGCCGCCATCTTTGGGTATATCTTGGTATACACCAAGATGGTGGCGCCCAAACATGCGGGCGCCGCCATCTTGGTGTATACCAAGATACACTCAAAGACGGCGCACGACGTGCCGGTGGCCAATATGGCAGTTTGTGTGCAGTTTCGGAGGCTCGTTGCCTCCACACCTGAAAGAGCATAACAATTTGTTTTCTTTGAGGAAACGAACAAAAAATGTTTTAGTTTTCATTAGTTTCATCAGAAAACACATTTTTTCATGCCATGCACATGTCTACGCTTTTTCCAGAATTTTTACACATTTTTGCACAGCAATAAACATTCTACATCATTCCAGAGAATGTTTATAGCTCAGAAAGCATCTCATTTTGTCACGTGGAGGCGGGGCAGGTATGCCTTCCGTCCCCATTAAGGCCAGAGCATCCCAGGTTTTTAAGAGCTCATAACAACCTGCGATGCTCTGGTCGGGATCCTGCCCAGCTCACTGATTGTCAGAGGAGTGGGATTATCTGGATAGCACCCAGCCTAGCTGCTGGCAACCAGTGACGCTGGAGAGGGGTAACGTGCACCTCCACCCTTTCTCTGGTAACATACGCTCATAGCAGTACACCCCCCCTGTGCGGTTAGGGGAGGAAAAAGCTGTCCACTTCAAGTTTGAAGCTGACAGCCTTTTCTCCATTCAGATCGGCTTCCAGCAGGTTAAACAGCAAGGAAATCCTCCCCGCCCCGCTATGTAACCTGTCATGGACGGAGTGCTGCCTGTTAATTACAGGCAGCGCTGCATCCGGCTTTTGACAGGTAGTTAGGTTACACAGCAGCAGGCTTCCCCACCGCTTGTGTAACCTAACTAGTGAGGCAAGAGCTGTCACAGCCCCTACTCTGGGTTAGAGGTGTGAGCTCTGTGGATGGCTTGGACCAATGGCAAAGCTGTCTAATCAAAAAAAAGAAAAAGAAAAAAAACAAATCACTGAGGCCATCGATCTCGATCTCAGCAGTGACAAGCAAGTGAGGGACAGGGAGACTCCTCCCTTCCTCCTCACTCTATCCTTCACACTGGCTTGGGGACCGGTCTTCTATCGAAAACTACAACTCCTCGAGATCTCCAACGACCTGACTTCCGGTTTAGTTAGAAGTAAGAGGTTTGTCTGAGAAGGCTGTACTGCATGTGCGCCACCCGCGGCATTTCCCTATACACATAGGACACAGCAGTAAAGGATTAAAATGAACTAGGGTCAGACTAATCAAGCACGTTATTAATCTGAGTTGCCCCACTTGCAAGCGGCAGGCTGGTGGTGGGGCTTCATCGGGCTGGGGGACAGGGTGGGAAATGCCTCAACCGGGACCAAAGGTACCGCACGTCACTGCATTGCACCATATTGTGTGTTTCGGATGGGGTTCAAACTTTCATTATCTTATATACAGTATATTTGTAATAACCCTGATTAAAAAAAAGGAGCACACACACGCTCACACACTTTAAGGATGTTCTCCAGGAAGGGGTTAAACGATTCTCTTCTGAATGTTTTATTTGTTGTTGAATACACGACACAGATCTACAAAAGTCTTTGTTCATGAATACATCAATGAATGTATTATCTTTTTTAAATGCAAGCAGTGTATATGCCTGAATCCGGATTGCTATCAGCCTACTGCAATCCCCTATACAGAAGAGCGCAGGCTGGGAGAGGGAGAAGTGGTACAGGGAGGCTTGCTCATGTGCAAACAAGGAGCATATAGAAAAGGGAGAGCGGAGTGACATGGAGATGAGCTCATCAGTCTGCTGCTTTTCCTTTCACTGTCCAGTCACAGGCTGGGGGAGGGACAAGACCTGAGGATGTTAACTGAAGCAGGAAAAATCAGGTCTCCTGCCCTTCAAGACAAGGCTGTGTTGTGTGGCAGAGCCGTGTAAATCTCAGGACTGGGGAGGCAGAAACCCAAATCCTTTGGCAGGTAACACAGCTCCCATATGTATATTCCATCTGTGTATTTTGCCATTTGCCTTGAGTTCAGCTTTCATATTGGGCCTAACTAGATATAAAGCATTTTATTTTCCCGGCTCGCATCTCCACAGAACAAAAAGATAAGTACAGTAACTAGGATATGTCCACAGTGCCATTTCGGACCCAGAGTTCCATTCTAAGGCACAGTAGATGTTTATCGCTGCAAAACAGAGCCAATAGCGCGGGCTGTTGAGATTATCCGATTTGCCAGTGTCATGCTTCATAGAAGGGGTATACGAGATGGCTCCCACAGTTTGTGAGCCAGGTCATGACACTGCTGTATGATGAAATCTGGTGGGATAATGCCCAGATGCAATGTTAGCAGTTCATAGCACTTCACTAGCTCCGCCTGATGGTTTTTGCTGTAAAAACGGATGAGTTTCCTAAACAGGAAAAAAAAACAACTTATTTTATTCAAAATGTTTAGAAATGGCATAGGAACATCAGCTGTGCAATAACAAGACAGACCTTATATTTCTATAGACATACATCACAGATTATTACAACTCAGTACCAGCAAATCAAATGGTAAATTCTTGAAGGACACAATCCTTCTACAGCTTTCCAATTGCTTGAAAGGGATTCTGTCAAGCCAAATACAGAGTTTTAAACTCTTGGTTTTATCTGATATTTAGTAGGAGTGTAAAGGCAGACATGCAAAGGAAGGAAATTAACTCCTTCGGGACCATTATACACCTTTCCAAATGTAAAATGCCCCTTTGCTTTTAAGAACATCAACCTTGCAGCAGAGAACTAGGAATCTGGGAAGAGAAGACAGAGGGGGCGCCTTTCCTGGTGCAGATCAAATTTATTTTCAATAGTCATAGATAAAACATAAAGGTACTCACAAACATAAAAAGCTGGCACACAGGATTCCCTCAGTGGATGTCCATCTGCCTGCCAGCTTTCACTCCATGGCTGTATTTTATCTATGTTTGTGAGTACCTTATGTTTTATCTATGAATATTGAAAATAAATTTGATCTGCACCAGGAAAGGTGCCCCCCTCTGTCTTCTCTTCCCAGATTTCGCAGCTTTCCCGGCTTTCTCTGGGGGCAGCATCCTGCAGTAAGCCTAAGAGGATTTCCCAGTGAGGAGAGATTGTTTGTGGCGCTTTATTGCTTTGATTTTGTTTTAGAGAACTAGGAATGGTCAACTGTGTGTGTTCCTACTGTAGTGCTCAGCCCCACCATCAGGCCAAATTGTCATAGGCAGAATTAATTCATCAAGAAATCGCCAAAATTTGTTCAGTAGGTGGCCCGGTTGGCTGTTGGCATTTTTCAGCCGAACAGTGACGGCAGCCAGCGGCATTCCGACAGCCGAAAACTCGCCACCAAGGCCATCCCTATAAAATCAGGCAACCTGAGAAGATCCCGCCCAGCTTCTGGAAACCAATGACATCAGTAAGCTGGGTGGGATGCGGTGCACCACAAACTGCCACCCCAAACCTGGAACGTCCACCACAAGCCACCGACACAAGCAACCCCCCCTCACCTGGAACTTGCACCAAGAGTAACTAATTCCACCAAAGAACATGCATTGCAACCAGCTCCCCCATCCCACCTCAGGCAGCGAGACGTCTAAGGATACCCCCGCTCACCACTATCCTAATACAATAGGTGAAGCAGGAGATTTGTCTAACTAAATTGTTTAGCATGGATAGAGGTATAGGCTGAATAAAAAAATGATAACAGTAAATGGTCGACTTAAATAATACATACCGACAGTGCTAAACTTTGTCTAGGCATCTAAGCTTTAAAACAATCTGATCAGGAAAGAGTTAAAAAAGTTGCCTTAATGACTTTGCCCTTGGCATGTTATCATGATTACCAATTTGTATGGTGCCATCTGCCATGGCAACAATTATTGTGTCACAAACAAGGGTAAAGAACACAGACGGATTATAACACTAGAACAATTGATCGACGAATACAAACTGTATCGCAATACAAATAGAAAACAAATAACAACCTGCCGGTATGAGATCACAAGCTAGATAAACATATTCGAAATAAAGCAAACCTATAATCATGCCTCCCAACCTTCTGAGATAGGACATAGGGACACATTACATCATGAAGTACAGTATGTAGGCATGTCCACGTCCTGCCTCCAGTAATGCGCACCATGAGGGTTAATATGCACAAATATGATTGGCTTTCTTTCCTTGCTACTTTTCCATTATTTTGACTTTTCAAAATAAATTGAATAATTAAAAGATGAAATAAAAGCCTGGTGCAGTACACTTGAGAGTTAAATAATACATTTGTTACAGAGATCTACACATCAGGCCAAGAAGAGGAACAACTGAGAAAGAAAGAAAGATGGACAGAGGACTTTGGTTCCAAAATGAGGGACAGTTGGGAGATTTGTATGAATGGGTATGCTATATATGATCCAAATGTTTCATGGATATGGAGATACACTGTAAGTGCAAGCTAGTGGATCAAACATCTCTTATCATATTAAAGTGGACCTGAGCCCAGATAATGAAGATCTACCATGCTATAGGGAATATCTTCAGTTGTTAATTGTGCGTAAGTGGTACCCTGATAAAAAGCCCATTTTGTCTTCCTCCTGCAAATTTGCAGTGCACTTCCTGGTATGTGGAAACGCGTAGATAACGGTGCCAACAGCCTCATACCTGTATATCTGCAGTGTGAGATTTAAGGCACTGCTGCCTCAGACTGTAAAGCTGGCCATACACTGCTTTATTTTGTTTTGTTGTTTAACCCATGGGATGAGTGTAAAAAAATAAATATAGCAGATTCCTCCATCAATGCTACAAGCGTGTTGACCGAGGAATCTCCGCGGTTTCTTTTTTATTCTGACAGCAGCTGGCAGCCGCTGTCAGAACACCTAAATAGGGCCGGCAGCTCATTGGCTGCCGGCTTGCTTCATATGAAGATTTTCCAACTTGCTCCTTCGATCAACTGGACCGGCCAAAATTTGCACAGCGTATGGTCACCTTTAGTCTCAAGAGATTTGGTGATGTCACTGTTGTGCTCCTTGCTCGAGAGGAATCTGACCTGCATGCATATTTCTGCTTCATTCTTTCAGTGGAACAGTGCTTTGCGCACATCTACTTCTGCTGCTTGAATATTCCCCCGCCAGTTATCAGATCCCCAGTCATCAAGGGACACACTGACACGAAGAAGTAAAGCCCTGCTTCTCTACCAAGATAGCCACCTCCACAGAGAGACACAATCCAGCACAAGACAGGGTAAGTCAGGATTGAGGAAAAAAAATCCGCTGCAGGAAGCCTACGGGCCATACTGGTCACTAGTCCTAATCCCTATGCTTGTTGTTTTTGGACACAGCTTCCAGCATTCATGTCCCCTTAAAGGCTCGTTCACACCAGGTGCGCTGAGCTGCGTTCTACAGAATTGATCCATGCAGGCTCAACATAAGGGCACATAAAAAACATTTGAAACTTTAGACCTTATCCCAATATGCAGTCATATACCCCCCAATAAATGTCACTCCAGATGTCACTGCTGAGATTTATGACCACAGAAATACTATACAGACCTGAATCAGACGGACAAAAAGAAAGAAAACTTTCTTCTGCATAGTAGGTACCATACAGTACCCCATTGTTCCTCCACCCTGTCTTAAGAGCCCCCCCAAAAACCTTAAAAAGGAGAACTATGTGGTGAGTGATTTTCACTCACCCTCATAGTTAGAGCCCACCTGTAACAAAGAAGCAATCACAGGTCGGCTCCATCGAACGGGAAGTGAGCAGAAACATGCCGCCGATCCACTCACTTCCCGATCGTCTCCCTGCAGTCACTGCTCCCCGCAGGGATTCCCCCCTCCCCTCCTCCAGCGCTGACTAGAGGAATGAACAGGGGAGGGCACAACTGGCTCTGCCTCTTGATAGGCAGAGCTAGCTGTCACTCACGCAGCTGGGTGGATCTCAACAGCATTATTGGGATCTGTCCCAGCTGCTGCGCTTTCAGTATATTGTGGGCAAGTTTCTTTTAAACTTCAAATAAAAAGTAGCACCCACACAATGAAGCTCTTAGTGTCTGAACATTAGCCCTATGCAAATACATGTCTAAGGGGCTTCTAAGGATGCATCAAACGCAGACATATAAAATGTTATATTTTTTTTTTCTGCCAAGTTTGTTTTAATGCAGAAGCTCCTGATTATGAGTGTTTTCCCAGTTGCTTCAGCTTTGCACAGTGTGGACATTTTACCTTTAATAATGAAATGGCAAAGTTAGTTACAGAAAGAATTTCTGCATCTAATTAACATTTAAACCAAACATTTTGAAAGGACTATAAAATGGAAAATCTCACAGGAACACTTCAGAAAAGAAAATATTAGAATACATTTTGTTCTGTAAAGTGACATACAAGAAGAATGCTCAAAATGGATAGAAAAGAAAAAAAAAGGAGGACCTGCCTAGGTTCACAGTGCAGGTAGCTGGAAATAGAAGCTGATCATTGCTCTAACTGGGAAGAAACATTAGAGTGGTCTTAAATTTGGGAATGGATGTGAAAAACACACACACACACACACACACACCACCTCAATGTACTTTTTTTTCAACCCGATGAACTAGGTAATGATGCAATACCAACCTGGGCCAACATCCCTGATCTGATTAAAGTAACTCTAAACTCAGGAGTTAAACCTTAAAATACAGTCAAGTACATTAACTATTAACAAAAATGTATCTTATTTGTGTATCACTCGGCTGTAGACCTCAAATCATCTCTGAATTGGTGCCGACACTGTCCTTCCTTCTGGAGGGGGGCTACTTTTGTTCCCCATGTTCCCTGTGTGTGTTGTAAAGTAGTCACCGCTCCAAGCTCACTGTGATGGACTACAATCTCAATACAAATTAGTAAACTAAACATGAGATTGTAGTCCATCTCGGGAGTAATCTTGGAGCGGTGACTACTTTACAACACACAGGGACCATGAGGAACAAAAGTAGCCCCTTATTTAGCTTGAATTACTTTGTATGAGTCTAGAGTGCCTACAGACCAGCCCTAATGTTCCACAGAATGTTCCACATCACACTGATATGCAAAGTTGTGAACAGGTCCTGTGGTTGCCAGTTATGGGATGTCCAGCACCCATTACCCCATAAATAGTAAAGTACTGGAGGAGGGAGAGGTTGTCCAGATGTGGCAAACATGGAAGCTGATGGCCATTGCATTTCAGTGCACCTTGGTATTTAAAGAAAAACTCCAGGGAAACTTTTTCTTAAACCTTGGCCTAAACCCACACTGCATGGGATAGGTGCTCATTTTTGTCTAGGTGCTAAAATAAAGTTATACGCACCCGAAGCTCGCAGCCAGGTGTCTGCGACAGCATTCCCTCCTGCGCTGCAGCATTGAAATATTCCTCAGAATCCTCAGGGCTATACATGGTGCATGGGATGTGATGATTTATGGGACCTTAGACCGCTGCAGAGTTGGCGGGAGAGAGGTTGGAAGGACCAGTCTAAGAACAAGTCGGCTGAGAACATCGGTTGAGTACAACAATTTTTTTTAACCTAGAGACAAACAAGCACTTAACCCTTGCAGTGCGGGAGGAACTCCACTGCAAGAGTTAAATCAGACCTTTACCCTTATCTTTAAAATAACAAAACACACCTTTAGAAATGTTTAGAAATGACAAATCTACAAACACATAATTCTAGATAATTGCTGGCTTTGTATTCTTTGCATTGCTTATTTCTCTTTTCTTCCCCAGTCTATTGGCAGTGGCCATGTTTACTAAGGGCAGATTACTAGCTCTCCTTTTACTTCCTGGATTTCTGGCACACGTGACTAGACATGTGACCATGCACATCATCTCAGGGGAGGAAAATGACTTACACTGAGATCTCGTGACATTACAGATGAGATTTCAGAGCAATGCCCAGCTGATGACAAGGCAATCCTAGTGTGCATTGCTTTGGCAAACTGAAGTCATTCAAAGCAGGAAGTGAATGCAAGTATTTCAAAATCACAGCACTTTACACCTGACATGTCCATGTTATTATTAATCATCATACATAGAGGGATGCATTGGTAGAATTTGATTTTTGAGCGTAAAGGTCCGCTTCAATAAAAAAGTTTCTCAGGTTATTCCAAGGGCAGTCAATAAAAAGACATCAAAATTCATCTGCAATTTCTACTCCAGGGTTTATTTTAAGGCTAGCCAGTCTTAGAAGATACAAAACAAACTATTATCACCAGCAATCACCTGTAATATTCTCCTGCTAGCATTCCTATAGGTGCAGAATCATCTCCTAACACTGGAACATCAATAACTTCTAGTTTCTCACCCTGTTAAAGAAAAAGAAGAAAACAATAAGACAACATGTTTGGCTGTTATATACATGATGACCTTGAGACGGACCATAATCTGACACAGAAATGAGAATGTTCACTTCAGGAGAATGTAATAATGCACATTGTTTTGGAAATGTTGCATTTACTCCATTTAACCTGACTTGGATGGCACAGAGTGATTATACAGGGCTGATCTTTTACTGAAAGACGATCAGAGAGCTACCTGTCCTTGCTGAAATCACATCCTGTTGAGAGCCATTCATACTGTTCCCCATCAAGAGACATACAAATGAAGCATGTGTATGATTATGGTAGAGAAACATGATGTCACCAGCACACCGGACATACGTGTCCAAACAAGCGTGCTTTGACTCATATTTTCTCAAGCAAGGCAACGTTTCATGGTCCCTTCATCAGGCTCAGTAGGACTCATACATCAGACTCTGAATGACTCATACTCAGGCCTGCGCCTGATGAAGGGACCCAGCTCGGCTCTGGAACTTTGCCGTCCTTGTGACAATATGCCCAAGTAAAAGACGTTGACTTGGACACATATGTCCAGTGTGCTTGTGACATCTCATTTTGTATATTAATTTCAGCACCCATTCTTTAAAAGGGGATACCTATTGGGCTTAATTATGGTAGAGTTCTCTTCTTTATAGAGAAAAAAAAAGAACACTAAATGATCACAGAGATTATCCCAGATGTTATTATCAGTAGGATGTGAACCAGCATGCAGCTCAGTTATTGAATATAGCTTATACCCCCATCCTTAAAAATAATTTCTTTGGAGGAATGCAGAAGCGGTTGGTTCTTCAAGTTGGACCATTGTCAGTGACTGTGGTGCCCAATGATTAGTAACTGCACCACAATGTGACAGGTTCTTACCGCAGTGACATCACAGGCACATTGGACACGAATAAAAATAGCCATACATGACTAGATGTTCTCTCGGCCCGGGGGCTAAATCAGATTATAAAATCAACCAATTCCCCCATTCACAGTACAGTAGCTTTTCTCAGCCTATTTTTTTTTCAGTCATGGCATCCTTTAAAAGTAAGCAAACTCTCGAGTCACACCTATCTAAAATGTAATGGATTTTAAGTATGGACCCCACATAAAACACAAAAAAAAAGTGTTTCATTCCCCTACACATCAGAGTCCTGTCCTTCATTGGCTGCCGGCTCTGATCGTACGAAGATTTTCCAGCTGGCTCCTCTGATCAGCTGATTGAGGAATACCGGCTCAAAGGGAGCCGACAGCCCCTCACAATGTGCGAATTTCGTCCGGTACATTAAAAAACGGCTAAAATTCGGCCAGTGTATGGCCACCTTTACACATTGGAGCCCTACCATCAAATCAGGAGCTACAGCTCCTTTTCTGAATGAATCCCCGGATAGGTGTCATTCATGTTCAAAGTGTTGACAGCCAACCTGCCTACACCATGGCTAGGCATGATGCTGTGAGAACATTTCGAGGGACCCCTGAGAAAGCCAGAAGGCACCCCAAAGTGCCATAGCACTTTGGTTGAGAAAGGCTGCACTAAACAACATAGATGAAGGAACCTGCACTGCCGGCTATTGTATTCAGACAACTGAACTGCTGAATAGTGACTACATCTTATAGGACGTAGTCACTGTAAATCTGGTACATTTCCAGATTCAATTTGCATTTACATATATTGAGTATGCCCAATTTAAACAGATATCCAAGTCTATATTAGCATCAATCTCATCCACTTCCTTCCTTCCTTTGTTGTCAGAGGATATGTTTTTCTAAAAGACCGCAACTAAAAATATGTGACTCATGTAGCCTTTTTATATACTTCCAGGTAGAGAGGAAAAAGACCACTTATAAATATATTACAGTCATGCATGAAAGCAAACCACTCACAGCTTCATTCTCAAACCACAGGAAGTAACAACAGTAATAATCCCCATCACGAAACGTTAGTGTGGTGTAGCCTTTCTGAAGGTATCTTCGAGACAGACCTATAAGTGACCAAACCTATAGAAAGAAGTCAAATCAAGTTAGTAGCCACTGTAATATAAATGAAGAACAGAAAACTGAGTTCATTGTAATGAGCCTGTATAATAGCATTGTATATGAGCCTGTTCATTGTAATTGAGCCTGTATAATGTTACAGAGAACAAGATGTACATGTATGCAATACATCAAAGCAGAAAATAGAAATGTAAGCAGTAAACACAAAGTCATAAAGGAAACTGTTTATAATAGTTCCCACTGAATTAATCGCTTACAATGGAGGCTGCTTCCTGAATCAGATGGTCTCTCGAGTACTGGCCCTGAGATTGTTTTTTTTTTTTTCAGGGCCCTATGGAGCCACCCTTGTCTGTGCTAGTAAACTGTGTGCATCTCCACAAACACACAGGTATAACAGGGCAGGGCAAGTCACTCCTCTCCGCCTCTCGCTCTTCCCTTCCCTCTTCTTCAAGCCAGCAGATGGACAGCTACAGGAGACTGCTCTGTCCCTCATGATCAGCAGGAAGTTCAGGGAAATGGAGTTCAGAGAGTCAGCTGTTTAGAAAAATGATGACTAACTACATGGGTGAAAAAGTTTTAAAAAAGAGCTCTGGAAATGTAAAAAAAGTTAACCCTTGCAGTGGGACTACCCCAGCACTGTCAGGTGCTCATTTTTGGTCTAGGGGCTAAAATAAAAAAAAGATATACTCACATGATTCTGGGTCCAGCCAGGCCGCTAGCCCAGACCCTGCAGTCTCTTGGCTTCGATGGTCTAAGTACCGCTGATGTCATCATGTCTAATCAAGTCCAATGACTTGCACTGGATCAGAGGATGCCATGGGGACATTCCACATCCGGAGCACTCACCACTGGAGGACCGAGGATCAGGTGAGTCTTTCTTCTTTATTCCAGCCCCTAGACCAAAATGAGCACTTAACCCTTGCAGTGTGGGGGTGGCCCCACTGCAAGGGTTACATTTTTAAAACACTTTGCTGGGCAATGTATCATTTGTTTGGTCTGGATTTATTACTGAAAAAAAGTTGGGGGGTTTAATACTACTTTAATTGCGTTAATTGCTGGAATAGCTGTCGGTAGGCCACAAGTCTACTGAGGCCTACCAGAAGCTATTCCAGCAAGTTTATGATCCAAGAGATTAACTTTTGATATAACTAGAAAACATGGTTTAAAGCAGTGGTTCTCAACCTGTTGAACATCAGGACCAGCATTTGTCCTTGGTCATTAATTCGTGACCCAAGTTGCACTGCAATGGAACACATGGCATTGCGGCACTGCTCATTCCGATGCGGGCGATAGAACTGTGTGTGGGAGATGCGTTTGGGGTGTCATTTAAATCAATATCAATTCACTGCACCTAATTTAGAATGTGTGGTAGGTGCAATCGCGTGGTAAAGTGCACTAATCACATGGGACTGTGCGATTAATGCACTGTACTAATGTGAATGGGCCCTCAAAAACACTGACAGACACACAGAACCACAGACACAATCTCTTTTTTTCTTTATCCACCCAGTCTCCCTACCGTATGAGAAGTGAAGTGGATCCTCAGCCTGTGTTGTGGTGGAGCTCCATCCATATGTTCATTCACTTGTACAGCTCCCTTGCACACACTGTAGGAGGTGCCGGGAGCCAGAATGTGACATCACTCCGGTCCAGGCACATCTACAGGACACGTGAGGGAGCTGTAAGCGATCCACATATGCATGGAGCTCCCTCACTGCCATAGCCCTAGCCCACCCCACCTCAAGCGGACACACAGCATTGTGCAGCATATTTTGAAAGGCTGCTTGGTGCAAGAACTGACAGTGCTACTCTAGGGGGAGGCTGAGGAGGTTCTCGCCTAGAAAAGTGTGAGGCATGTGGTGACCCATTGAACAAGAGGTCACGACCCACCAGTTGAGAACCAAGGTTTTAAATGATTGCACTCTACTGCAGATAACATGGAGCTAATCAATATGTTTAACATATCTGTTTACAATCACTGACACACATAAATACCCAATTCATGTGATTTCTACACATGTAACATGAATCAAAAGAGAAAGCAAAAAGTAAGACATGGTACAAGACAGGGCTGAACGTATTCATAGCAAGAAACCTCTTAGTCATTCTCTGTAAATTTAAAAGAGGTTTCCAGATACAAAAATAACTAAAGGTGGAAATTCTTCACCAGTTGAGGAGGAGGCGGCACAAGAAGGGTGGACCTACCAATGTTTTTCTAAGAGAGGACCACATCAGCTAGCTTTCTCCAACAGCTTCAGACCTATGCATCAAGGGGTATTATCCAATCCTGGCCTTACTTCCTCAGAATCAATTCCACATCAAGCAATTACATATTTTACTGACTGACCTGCCTACACCTCCCTATAGTGTCTGAATTAAAACTTAGCCCATGGACGGAAGTTCAAAGCCCGTCAACAGATGTAGCTTGCCTTTCAGGTGTATTCTGCTCGCATTTGACATTTTTGGACACATCTACCATTCAAAGTGCAATGATAGATGCATTTGGCTGCAGTTGACCACCTCCTCACTTGCATTTGACCTCCAAAATGCATCAACTTGCTTTGTCTGTTCCCATTGACTTGTGTAGGGAGAGAAGCAGTTCTGATGCAAAGAAAAGCCCTTTGACATTAGGCTCTTAAAGATAAACTCTATGCAGATTTAAAGTGACATTAACCACTTGCTGACCGGGGTGTTAAACCCCCTTCCTGCCCCGGCCATTTTTCAGCATTTAGCGCTGCGGTATTTATTCAGCCATGCAACGCTGTACTGAAATGAATTTGACCATTTTTCTTGGACAGATAGAGCTTTATTTTGGTGGTATTTAATCACCACTGGGGTTTTTATTTTTTACTATATAAAGAAAAAAGTTTGGAAAAATAAAAATGAAACTGTTTTCCCTATGTTAATCACACATTTATTAGTACCCATTTTTTTGTAAAATATAAAAGACCGGGTCACGTGGGTAAATAGACACCAAACATGTCAAGCCTTAAAATTGTGTGCATCGCAAAAAACTACCATACCCAAAACTGGCCATAGGTGACGCTTTAAAAGCTTTTACCGCTGGTCAGATTAGTGTAAACAGTGATTGATGGCCCTAAAATTATTGCTCTCACGCCGACGTACGTGTTTTTGGGTATGGTAGTTTTTTTTGTGATTTCACGGGTGCACGCAATTTCAAGGCTTGGCATGTTTGGTATCTAATTTTTTTTACTTAAGAAATGTAGCAGAATACATTTTGGCCTAAATGTATGAAAAAAGATTTGCAATGTTTGTTTTTTTACTGACCCAGAAGGAGGCAGACATGGTCAAGCATGCAACTTGGCTATGCAAGTCAAAAGGAAACCCAAAATTATTTTTTCCACACTAACCAATAAATTGTAATAAGCAAAGACAACCTGAAAAAAAAAAACTTGTTAACATATGTAAGCTTTTATCCACGCATATGTTTAGACAGCCGTTACAACAGCATCCTTAATAGTAAGCACTGCTCAATAGAGGAGGTCATTTGGTTGCCTTCACACAGTTCAATGGTACAATTCTGTCAGTATAAAAACGCTGGATTTGTCTTTCTTTCCACATCTTTACATTACAAATTCCTCTAACCTCGGGCGAATTTCCCTGCTCTTAGACTATTGCAAAGCGCTCAGTTACTCTTTGTCAAAGTGTTTTCTTTGAAGATGTGCAGACTCATCTATTAAATGTTGCCCAGTAAGCACATTAGACACGGTGAATGCTTTCTCAGAAAATACCTTGTTTTTTATGAAATTCGCCAATAAGCTGTTCCCGAGCTCACTGGTGGAGTTATCTTCTATGTTTATGCACGGGGCCAGCATTTGTCCTACGGTGCGATCCACGTAAATGAAATGCACCAGGCCAGGGAAGTCTTCTAAGTAAGTGGAACACAGAGGTTAAGGAAAACATTGCATTCTCAAATTCTTAGGGTAATGCTCCCTTTTTTACTTGGTTAAACAAAACAAGTTATTTTTTTTAGTTTAGAAAAAATGTTTATATATATATACACACACCGAAAAAAAAGGCACCGCCTGAATTTAGCTAAGCAAATAGGTCAGAGCCTTCCATTGGATAATAGGTCTAGGTTCAGCAATGGTCTGTCCCCAGAAAATGAGGTCAGCTGCCTATGTGAACATAATGAATGACCAGGTTTTCCCATCAATGGATTTTTTTTTTCTTCCCTGATGGCATGGCCATATTCTAAGATGACAATGCCAGGATTCCTTGGGATCAGTTGTGAAAGAGTGGTTCAGGGAGCATGAGATATCATTTCCACACATATTGGCCACCACAGAGTCCAGACCTTAACCCCATGGAGAACCTTTGGGATGTGCTGGAGAAGACTTTATGCAGTGGTCCAACACTCCCATCATCACTACAAGATCTTTGTGAAAAATGAATACAACTCTGGATGGAAATAAATGTTGATAAGGTTCAGGCCGGCGCAAACCAATAGGACTGGTAACCATTCCGACAATGCTAGGAACCAAGGGGCTGCCTTCTCAACCAGGAAGTATCTGGCGTTTCGACAACATGCAACAAAAACACAGACCAGGCGCCACCTCCAATTTGCAGTAAGTTTAATAGATGCATGCCGTAATCAAAGCTAAACTATGCATTCAATTCGAGGCACCCTTGAATGTACTACTGTACTTGTAAAACACTGTGTAGCTTTACAATTTGAAGTTTAATTGCAATACTTGTAGGCCCATCAAGATTTACCCACAGCCTGGATGAAAAACGTCTAGTGGGAGCAATCAGTGCTGTCTTGTCTGTGATCTGAGATGCCCCGTTTGTTGAGTGCACTCTCTGTATAAATAGCACAAGCACTCCCTTTCTTTCAAGACCTGTGTATGCAAGGTGCACCCACCCTCCCTTGTTGCAGCTCAGCTGCTGCAGCAACCGAGGGAGCACCGTGCATGTGCAGATCTTGAACGAGGGGGAGCACTCGTGCTGGGGATACTGGGAGTGCGTACAATGGTCAGGGCATCCCAGATCATAGGCAGCTGATGGCTCCTAGTAGTAGTTTTCCAGCCAGGCTATGGGTAAACCATAATGGGCCTAAATACATTTTTACTATTTTGTTTTTAGCCATCACCGAAGACTTGCTGCTGCATGAGTAGGCAGCCTGAACAACATCAGTGAAGATGTTTGTATGCATCCCCAGCATTATCATGTCAAGATCCCTTAAGTGTTCCCTGAAAAGATTATATGGCAGACTTTACATCATATTCTTTTGTCAGTCTTTCAAGTACTTAATTCTTTCTCACCCAGATTATTACCACAGTTGTGAATGCTGTGCTTTAAAGGTTTATTTATGCACATTTAAGTATCACTATAGATCTGCTTCAGATAAATAACACACAATTTAATGTGTTATAACTGCAATGTGCAAAGTGGATGGAAATACAGCCATCTAGTGTTAGAAAATGCAGTCCTCACCTAAATTTACATATCCTGAAAAATAGACAGTCTTGCCATTTGCAACCATTTCCTTAAAGAAAGTGCTAATCTAACATTAACATATTTTATGGTTTTTAGGATAGGACTTCATTGTCTAAAAAGTTAATGCCCTGGAGTCCAAATACAAGCCTTAATTCCCCTTTGTTAATTAAAAGTCAAAATTCAGAACAGTGTTTCAGCTATACAAGCCTTAGTTAAGACTTCTCCTGAATCTCTCCCTACCCCAACCTGTCCAGCGATCTTGTACTCCTTCCACTGCCATTAGGTAATGCCTAAAAACTCATCTTTTCAGGGAAGTCTGTCCCGCCTCTACCTAACAACTGAACTTTTTACTTTCTTTAGCAAAAAGGAATTATGGATTGTATTTGGACTCCAGCACTTTTACAACATGCACAGTCTATGAGGGGCAACAGGAGCCACATCCCAGGCTGCAGTGACAAAGGAGGTAGAGTATTCATTGTCTAACAAACTGAAAAATAGTTTTGTCTTTGCTTAACTTCTGCACTACCTATGCTGACTAACAGTAGTTACATAAACCAAAAGTTGAAAAGATTCTGTTAGAGTGGCAGCAGAGTTTTTTTTCTCCATTACAACTGTTCTGGAGGCCTTGGCATTCATTCCTAACACTGCCTGAGCTGTCCCTGAAGCATAAAAAGCACACTGAGCTAAATGGTTCAGTACACACAAGTGCCAGGCAAAGTATTCACCTTTTCATATTCGTTCAACTTTGCATTGTGCCAAAATGACTGTTGGCTTCGGTGTCTGATCATATTTGATGCTGCAGTTCAGTTCCTATCGATTGGTTCCCCTTATCTGGCTCACCATGCTGTACAGTCTGCTTGACCCAGAGATAACATGAGGCTGAAGCCAAAAGGCTCTGGATGTGGTCCTTAATTCAGTGCCTCGGTGTACAATGCCATTTGGTTTATATAAGCTGTAAATGCTTTTTTTTCCTACAGAAAGGGGTTATTGCTTTCCGGAAATCGCAGTTGGATAATGTAGAGTTGAAAACAGTGCTTATCAGCATTCTTGTTTAAAGTGGAACTCTTCTAAAAACAAACTATAAAAGGTGTGCAAGTAGTACAGGAACAGTGGTTTAAAAGTGATGCCTATTCTGCTTGGGTATACCTATCTTCTAAAAAAGCAACAGGCTGGTAGCTATCTTTGACGGCATTGGTTTTTTAGACTAGGAGAGAACCTTATTCAAGAAGCAGCATGAACCAACAACATGCAATAACAGCATATTAAGCTTTCAATTGTAATTTTTACTTTAAAGTGCTACAAACCCGTGATCTATATTGCTGTTGTATTGGCCACCAAACAAGACTAGGATAATCAGATTTAGAAATAGAAATTGTGATGGTCATATCCAACTTCTTGCCTCTGTTCATACCGTGTGCAACATTGCAGATATGGTGAATGGTGTTCTTGTGGTGCATTGCAGTAGGCAGCCCATTCATTTCAATGGGCTACCTACCACAGCTAAACTGAACACCGCTTGCTAAAAGGGTACCTGTGAAATGTGGAGTGATGCAACGCACATAGATGGCTGGGAGCGTTGGCGTGTCATTAAGAAATAATTACACCGCAGTCAACATTACAAAATGCGCTATTATGCAATGCGGGTTCTTATGCGGCATGGACATGCTCCCACATCGCAGAGATCTGAATGAGGGCTAGCTGCAATAATATGAGCACTGTTAATCAGCAAGGATGGACTACAGCAATGGTCATTGCCTATGATGGGAAGAGAAGGAGCATCTTCTAGTGTACTACACAGAGGTGTCTAAAGAAGGGGTCTTTGTAATTAGACAGGTCCTTTAAGATGCACGAAAACCAGAACAATGAACTTCGGGGGGAAAAAAATACCTCTTGATCATGTCAGAAATTCAAACCTGTCCTGTCATGTAAAGATAGGAAAGTGGGATGGGTTTGAGTAGTTTAGTAGAAGACAACTGAGCAAGACTGACACCAGTCAATTTACAAAAAAAATATGTGTGTGGTCATTCCACAACAGGACAAGTTCATGTCTGGAAGAGCAACAGAAATTGTTCTCTACTTGCAGGGTCTTTAGGGGCACAAAACATAGTGAAATGTGCAAGTATTGCAGAGATGTACTGATTTTCTTTCTATTTTGCCCTGACAGATGCTTTAAATTTAAATGGGTAATGAAGGAAAAAAAACCTGCAGGTTTTCTCAGTGGTAAAAGGATATGTCACCATTGTTATATTTCTTTTACTTTTCACCAGCAAAAACTCCTTCCAGTCCATTAACTTCTCCCTGGAAAAAAAAAAAGAAAAGATCTTTAAACTTCCTTCCTGTTTACTATAACATGCTACCAGCGTAGAGGTGGCTTTTCACGTTATCATCACACAGGAGTGTCCTGTTCCAATTTATTAACACATTCTCATTCGTGGAACATATCATCCAAACACAAAACTTCTTTAGTGGGACACAGAGCTCCAATATGTCGCTACATATATGTAATCCAGAATGTGAAGTTCATGTGGATTAGTACCGAACGTGTCCAACACTACAAGTTGGGAACGGTCTTCAAAGGAAAGAGACCAGAACATTATAGGCAGATTATTGTACAATTTCCAAGGGTAAAGCTAACCTTTAAAAATCTAAAAAAAGTACGGTTCTTAAGGAGACCTGTGCTGACAGAAATATGTAGGTTGAGATATGATCTCCTTCAGAAATTGTTGATCCATTGACTGCAAACTCTTTTTTTGAAGTTACTGGCAGAGAACAAGCATGCAGCAACTACAGTCAAAGAGAAGGCAGGACTCCCAATACATGTTCCACGTCAGTGGTGGGCTTAAAAGTTCTGAAGCCATAGAATCAGTATGACCGTCAGGCAGTGAGCATTTTGCAAAGGAGAGGTCAGCAACAGCTAGATACATATTTTCTCACTACAGGTTTGCCTTAAGTCTAGGGTGTGATCTATACAATGCCTAAAAAAACATGGAGTTTGTATATTGCTTGCTAGCTTTTAGTGATCAACAGCAGTTAAAGCTGGAATCTGTACATGAAATAACATAGTAACACAGTAGGTGAGGTTAAATAAAGACAAGAGTCCATCCAGTTCAATATATATATATATATACACACACACACACTTCTGATACCACTGCCTGTAAAAGGGAATTCCACACTGCCTGTAGAAGGGAATTCCACAGTTTTACTATTTTCACATTAAAAAACCCATCAGCAGATCTGATGATTCGGTGATCTTTACTTGACAAGGTAAATTATTTTCCTGGTAGTCTGGCTGTGTACCTAACATTTGCCGTTGAAACAATCCCATTGTATTACAGTTCCGTAACAGGGCACCAAGTGGGACTGTTCAAAGAACGTAGTACTACAAATCCAAAAACAGCAGAATATTTTTATTATGTGGGCATTTTTTTGGTGCTTTGGGAGGCGTATGATTGATGTCCCAAAACTATTGTGTGGAAACATGCAAACATAGCAAACATTTCTGGGATTATGCCAGTTTAAAGCTTGAAATGGCTGCAGCTATGCTTTTGAGCTTCAGCTGATATTTCGGAGATCACAACCACCTAACTTAATGTTGGCACTGCAGATGGATGAAGCACTAATTTGTTTTACTGCTTAATCAGACACTGAAAACAATGTGCTAATAGAAGAATGCTCTCTAAAATTTGGGACCTTCTGCTGTAAACATTTTATTACATGTCTGTGCCACTATAAAAAAACCACAAGGGCATTGTTCAATAATGTTTAATACATGAATGCGTGTTGCTATGTTATAGGGCTAATTGATATATGTTGTGCTCTCATAGAATTTAGATAATGCACTATCTTGCCTGGAGAAGCAGACTGCGTCTGTGAAACTCGTCACAACACATTATACTGCCCAAATACTCTCCCTTCGAGTACTCGCTCTTCAATCAAATTATTGGCAAGACCCAATGAGAATGGTTTGAAGATTGAGATATGACACAAAAGATTTGATACTTTGACATCTTTGGATGAAATAGGGAGTAGGTGCAGACTATAGAGTTATAGAAGACATTTTAAAAATCCAAAAAAGGCAACTAGTCCCCTGTTTGGGTCAAACTTATGAATAATAAATTGAGGCCATTCTAAAAATCACAGACACCACATTATAAGATTCGGGCATTGATCAAGTCACTTTGACACAACTGCAAGTGAAAATAGGATTTTTGTACTCACCGTAAAATCCTTTTCTCTCCGTTCATTGAAGGACACAGGGCAACAGATCGTAGATCCTGTATGGTAGGGTAATATCGCCACCTGCAGGAGAAGGACGCTAGGCACAAAACTAAAGACCAATTACAGCCTAGGGGCGGCCCCTGCCGGTGGCCACACCCCCCACCTGCTGACAAGTCTCCAGTTAGTAATCCACCAGCCGAACCACGGCCACATACCACACTCACCAAGGCCAAACTGGGCCCACGAGGATGACGGCGACACCCTCGATCCGTCGGTGAAGATGAGGCAACAGGCATAGTGGAGGAAGACAGAAAGCAGACCGTAAGACTCCCAGGGAGCCATCAGGGTCCCCAACGCTGCCGGCCAGATATCTAGAGCCTGGGCAACGAACATCTCCACCTGCCGGCGGAGTTGAGACGCCAGGTGTCTGGCATCCCCCAGCGAAGACAAAGCTGATGAAAGAAAAAAAAATATAAAAAAAATCACCGGGTGTAGGGACCAACCTCCCGGGACCACCGACCGCAACTGAGGTAGTCGGTCAGCCAATCGTCCACCCCCGGAATGTAGACTGCCAAGAGGGCCAGAACCAGACTCTCCGCCCAGGAGAGGACCCTGACCACCTGCCGACATGCGGCTACATTGTGTCGTCCCGGAGGCTGAAGTACGCCACCTCAGTGGTGTTATAAAATAAGGACTGCAATCTGTATGACAATACCAGTAATTGAGAACTCATATACATGACTACAGTACTTACTGAACATGTTTCCTGACTCGTGTTTGTATATTTAGAGACAAGGCATGCGTGCCACTTATTGGAGAACTCAGGAATAGCTGGCGGTACACAGAACACAGCTGACGCTTCACATTTTTACATGCTTGAGCAAGCCTGTAAGGAAGACGGAGTAGGAATTACCCAGAGCAATGTCAAGCAATGTTCACTTTATCTGAGCATTTGTAATATAACTACACAAAATGGCTGATTTATGGTCAACTAGAAATGCAAACACCTATTTGCCTAATGTGGTTCTGCCCTATTTGTTATGTCATTTGGTTAGTTTTATATTGGTCAGATTCGGATTCTTAAACCAACAATACCTGCATTAAGGCAGAAATTTGTACTTACCTGAAAAATTCTTGGAAACCCTGCGGGCAGCGGTGAGTGACAGTCACCGGTCTCTGCAGGGAGATGATATGTGTTCGCTCATTTCCTGATCTACTGAGACAACGTGTGACAGTTTCATTGTCACACATCGGCTCGAACTATGAGTACAGGTGATTTTCACTCACCTCATAGTTCTCCTTTAAAAGGTACTTGAATGTATTTTTAAGATTTAACTCCTGAGTTTAGTGTCACTTTAAGAAGCAATACAGAACTTCCCAATATCTCGTACAGGCTTGTTTGGCTCCTTTTAGCCCCTCACTGTAATCCAAGTGGTTATAAGGTTTATGGAGACCTTCCCAAACTTAGAAGTGGGCATCATAGATTGAGCCAGTCTGTTAAGATTCTACACAATTTAGAAAATGATTCAGCATGGTGAAGGGAAGGTAACACAAGAAAGAAAACAAATGGCTGATAAACAGACACTCTGAGGCGAATACAGATCACAAAGTCAGACAGAACAGAAGCTATTTTAGCTGAGAAATGTTGTGAATAAGCACAGATCATTTGTAAAGAACCCGACTACCGTATAATGGAACAATAGCACTCTCTTATGTTCAGGCCTCAAAGTGTTTCACACAGAATAATGTTATGCAAAGATGGGTGTATTTATTCATACTTACTCTGCTGGCGTTCCTGTCTCATTTCTGGAGAAAGCTTTATTCTTGAATTCAAGCCAGGTATGCTGCAACTAAATAAAGAGATACTTTATACAGACACAGCTTGGAACGCAGTGCATTTCAATAGAGGTGAAATTGTTTTTTTTCTCTTTTATAGTACGTTTTAATGGAATGCTCCAGACAATAGTTTTAAAGAAAATATTAGAGGAAAAAAAAAAAAGAAGATGGCAATGTAAAAAGAGAACCAGTCATGACTGAGCTTATGCAAGAAGCAGAGGAACAATTCTTGAATTATAATAACTTTTTTAATTTTTGACCCCCTTTTATAAACTTGATTTACTTTGTCTCAGCCTGACACTGGCTTTCAATATCAGAAAATTAATGGTCAACTGAAGTCTAGCTGTTGCTTCCATATCAACTACTCATATGGTCCGCCACCTCCTGAGTGCGCATAACAGTATCAAAGAGTAGAGCATTGTAGTTACCAGCTCTTGTATGGTGAACTCTCTCTACTATGAGAGCATGTGCTGGTAGATTCTACTTCTTAATGCGATGGGGGTTCCATAATACCAATACTTCTTTGCTCATCTTCTCTCCACCCAACACCATTGGTTTTCTTTAAAGTCACCATTAAATCCTAGTCAGCAAAAAGCTAAGAATGTTACCATGATTTACCCTAATAAATCAGACAAATCGACAATGATGATACAACTTATTTAATATAGAGGGCCTTAAACATGGCCCCTGACATCACTAGAGGAACGCACATAATATTCAGTGAAGGTAATGCTACAGAAAGCTGTCACAGATGGCAGACATGCAACAGAAGATGGCCAGAGACTACAGACATGCAACAGGTGATGGTAAGAGACTGCAGAAATACTGCATCAGATCAGAGATTGCATACATATTGCACCATATGGTCAGAGACTACAGACATACTGTGCGAGATGGTCAGAGACCTGCGTGAGATGGTCAGAGACTGCAGACATACTACAGCAGATGGCCAAGGATTACAGACATGCAACAGGTGATGGTAACAGACTGCAGAAATACTACAGGATCAGAGATTGCAGACATATTGCACCAGATGGTCAGAGATCTAGTTTGACCAAACATGCTATAGGAGTTGCTGGAGATTGGGGACATGCTTTAGGAGACCTGAGATTTGAAAAAAAAAATACATAGGCCTGGTAAAGATTAATGCTATTTAAGTTCCTTTATAAATCAACACTTCTACATTTTTTGCTCTGTATTGCCCCCTTAAAAATTACTTGTGCCACATTTGATATTTCCTTCAATTAGATTCATTATAAAAACACAAAAGGGATGAACAGCACAAAAAAACAAAACATTGAAATACTGTAATCCAGTCCAAAGAATGAAATACTGTAATCCAGTCCAAAGAATGATTCTCACAGCTTGAGTAAGCACCTACGTAAGGAAGACTATTTTGTGCAGAGGTCCTAAGGTGTCATAGGGCCACATGAGGCCCCAGGAGCCTACACTGCTGTGCTAGCACATAACTTTAAGCTAATGTGTAAAATACTTCTGTGGCAGCCTCAGGTCTGCTTATTTAATCAGTCATCTCACCCCTATGGGAAAACATTGCGTAAATAAAGATAAAAAACAATGGGATGTCTTACTGGGTTTTCACGAACGCCAAGGCTTTTAACAAATCTGTCTGTTCTTTGCCTCAGGTCTGCAATGAAGGGATGTGACCGTATAATGTGCTGAATGTCCTGGCCCTCCAAGAGCTTCTTCTCCATTATATTGAATCCATCCAAGAGCTGGTACAAGGAGAGCCCCAGCTGACTTCCAGAGAACTGCAGGTGCATAAAGATATGACTGTTACAGTGATTTTAGCCATTTTGAAAATAAAAAATAGATGAACTGCACAAGTGCAGAGGATAGCAATACTCATCCATCCAGGTGAACATACCTGCCAGGCATTCTACTGAGGCTGAAGATCGGCAGAATCATATCAGATATGCAGACAGCACAATACATGGAAATTAGTGACAAGCTGCACCAGTGCCCAGTGCATATTTCTTACCCCTCCCTCCACTGTGGTTGGTTGCTAGGACTGCCGGGGGACTCTGTTGGGCACTCCTGGATATAAGAAGGACAAATTTGGAAACCCCTCTTCTAGCTGAGTGTTCCCTAGTTTTTAAACTCGTGTCCAGGGAACTACCCCTACAAGACTATCCATAATAGGGAAACAAAAGCTGAAGCGACTGCTGCATAAATGTGTGTCAGCTTGTAAAACACAATCTTCCCCTTTACTATATTGCACCTGCTTGTTATATACTGTGCACCCATTTACCTTTGTCAAGAGAACCAGGGACATCCCTTGCCACAGTGGCAGACAGTACATGGAATGAGGCATCATGGGACAATACCCCTCCCTCAGGTTGGCATCCAGAAATACCCTCCTCGTGTTGGTAGATTCAGGCAAAGGACCAGGCAGAATATTCAAACTGTCTTCTGCAATCTGAGGGACATAAGACACAAAACAAATCGATTAGCACTTTGCTAATCTTTTATATAGACACTAGATACAATTAAGCATTCTAAAATAAACTACCTGGATTTCAGATTCTTCCAGGCTAGAGGTGGACGACACATCATCCCTCCAGCTACCACCTTAAATTGTAAATGCAATATCAAATTAGTCATATTCAGTAGAAAAGAAGTTTCATTTCTCAGAGAGCTCTCAACTAATGTAGTCGATGACTGTATTTATTATTAAATTCCTCATGAGAGCTCGCTCTCATGATGGACTACAGTGTCAGCACAAATTCAGAGATGATTTGATGATCTACAGCTGAGTGATGCACAAATAAGATGCATTTTTTTTTGTTATTAGGTGAGGTACTTAATGCATTTTTAAGATAACGAGCCCCTTGCTCACTCGGTTCCACTCTCCCGGCACTCCTTAGATTTCAGACCGCAGCATCTGATATTTCGGACATCCGATAATGTGGGATTCGAACTTCAGCTATGTGCTGTTCGTATCCAGTGGTAATAGCTCAGAACAAACACCAGGCAGGCTGTATGTAAGCTCAAACAGGACTCTCGTTTATTGGATGCACACACACACTTTTATAAACAACAGTTTGAAGGTGGCCCAACCGACCACCTTCCTATTGGTCAACTGTAAAGTATCCTCCAGTCCTCACCTAGGTCCTTTTGGCCATGCAAATGAGGACTCGAAACAGGGCAAATAGGGATTGGTCCATAGTCTCTAGGAAGGAGGCTAGCCCTCAGGCTCCTCCAGCAGCCCCAGTGACGGTTCAGTCCGTCACATTTCTCCCCTCCCGACAGTAGACTAACCAGATACCAGACCCCCAACTGGTCTGGACCTGTGTTAGTCGGACAAGACAAATTTACATGTCCAGCATCTGATTTCCTGAAAACAAACTGCCACTGGGGGGTGTTGAGGGCCACTACATCTCCATGCACCATGGCCTGCCGCTGGGCTGGGGAGTTAGAATGGCTGCCTCCCCTCCCTGGGACTGTAAAGCACCTGACGGATTATTTGAGGATCACAACTGTGGAGATTGACACATATGCAGTTCTAGTACATAATCTATCGAGTCCTGTTGCGGCATATCAGTTTGGGTTCCAGGTTTCACTCTCAGTCTCAAGGGAGAGTTTGGATCCACGAAATCATCTGCCGACTTATTTATAAGGTGCTACTTAGAATGGTTATTACATCATAATCCACCCTAGTAGTGAGTGCGCAACATGATGAGGGTGTGGGTTCGTATAGAAACTGGTGGTACATAAGAGCAGGAACACAATCCTCCAACGAAACTCTATGGCCACATTCAATGGTGTGAACAACAGTGAAGCTCCAGTACTCCTTATAGCACCATGCACTCCCAATTGCCCAGCATACAGCAAGTGTATAGCAACAGCTCCTGCATACATCTAGCACCATGTACCACCAATAGCAGAGCAAGAGTGAATAGCAATAACTCCAGTAACATGTATTGCACTGTGCACTTCCAATAACATAACATACAGCAAGTGATATGGAAGTAACTCATGGATAGCACCAGGTACGTCCAATAGCAAGAGATACAGCATTGAACTGCCTGACACAAGGATACTTGCGGTCTCCCAATAGACTTGCACAGCACTCAGGTAGATTCCCTGGAAGATGGGACTGGAGGTAGATTCCCTGTGACCCTGATGAGCCTACTGCTGTCCCGAGTGAGCGGACCGAACACAGGCGTTCACGGCAATAGTGGAACGCCTTGTGTAGCGGCCGCTCACTATTTATGGAGCCGGAATTTATGGAGGCGGGGCTCTCATGCGCGTCACACGGCCGCCGTGTACCATCGTGGAGCGCACCGTGTGACGGCGCAGCTGTCTATGACGCCGCTGCAGCCCAGGGAGGACCCGAGAATGCGATCTCGTTACAGGGACAAAGACTGCCACTGGGAACAAGTATCTGCTGCACCTTTTTTCAGAGGCTCCACCTGCTGCTGGGGAGAAAGTTTGGCTGCCTCCTCTCCCTGGAACTCCCTCTGCCGCTGGGGAGAGAGGCCGGCTCCCTCCTCTCCCTGGAACTCCCCCTGCCGCTGGGGAGAGAGGTCGGCTACCTCCTCTCCCTGGAACTCCCTCTGCCGCTGGGGAGAGAGGCCGGCTCCCTCCTCTCCCTGGAACTCCCCCTGCCGCTGGGGAGAGAGGTCGGCTACCTCCTCTCCCTGGAACTCCCTCTGCCGCTGGGGAGAGAGGCCGGCTCCCTCCTCTCCCTGGAACTCCCCCTGCCGCTGGGGAGAGAGGTCGGCTACCTCCTCTCCCTGGAACTCCCTCTGCCGCTGGGGAGAGAGGCCGGCTCCCTCCTCTCCCTGGAACTCCCCCTGCCGCTGGGGAGAGAGGTCGGCTACCTCCTCTCCCTGGAACTCCCTCTGCCGCTGGGGAGAGAGGCCGGCTCCCTCCTCTCCCTGGAACTCCCCCTGCCGCTGGGGAGAGAGGTCGGCTACCTCCTCTCCCTGGAACTCCCTCTGCCGCTGGGGAGAGAGGCCGGCTCCCTCCTCTCCCTGGAACTCCCCCTGCCGCTGGGGAGAGAGGTCGGCTACCTCCTCTCCCTGGAACTCCCTCTGCTACTCGGGAGAGAGGCCGTCTGCCTCCTCTCCCTGGAACTCCCTCTGCCGCTGGGGAGAGAGGCCGGCTACCTCCTCTAACTGGAACTCCCATCTGCCGCTGGGGAGAGAGGCCATCTGCCTCCTCTCCCTTGGACTCCCTCTGCCGCTGGGGAGAGAGGCCATTTGCCTCCTCTACCTGGATCTCCATCTTAAATAGTTTGAAGGCCCAAAAGGGCAACTTACGGAAAGGGGCTGTATCTCTAGGTGTTGTCGCTGATTGCCGTAGTTGCGCCATTTTTCACTCATGTTGCCTCTCTAGCTCTCTCGCTTGTCGCTCATCCTGCTGCTGGATGTCTCTAATGGCATTCTGTATGGCGGTCTCTGATGGGTTGGCACCATATAATGTCAACCGCTGTCGAACCCGTTGCTGAAACAAGTCTCCAACTGACTTACGGAAAGGCACTGTATCCCTAGGTGTTGTCTCTGATTGCCGTAGTTGTGCCATTCTCTACTCATATTGCCGCTCTAGTTCTCTCTCGTCGCTCATCCTGCTGCTGGAGGTCTCTAATGGCATTCTGTATGGCGGTCTCTGATGGGTTGGCACCATATAATGCCAACCGCTGTCGAACCCGTTGCATCCCTCTGATCCATCTGGGCTAGCTCACTGATCAGTGTGGCCTTGTTCTTTGTCCCAGCGGTCCCTCCTCGGCTCTCAAGTAGGTCTTTCAGCGTGTCTCTCCTGCAGGCTGCATAGCTGGTCATTCCCTGTGGTGGTTTGGAGTGTCCCAGTAACTGGAGAGCAGATCCCACCGCTTGCCACCAATGTAACGAGCCCCTTGCTCGCTCGGTTCCACTCTCCCGGCACTCCTTAGATTTCAGACCGCAGCGTCTGGTATTTTCGGACATCCGATAATTTGGGATTCGAACTTCAGCTATGTGCTGTTCGTATCCAGTGGTAATAGCTCAGAACAAACACTAGGCAGGCTGTATGCAAGCTCGAACAGGAATCTCGTTTATTGGATGCACACACACACTTTTATAAACAAATTGGGATTGGTCCATAGTCTCTAGGAAGGAGGCTAGCCCTCAGGCTCCTCCAGCAGCCCCAGTGACGGTTCAGTCCGTCACAGTACTTAATGCATTTTTAAGATTTAACGCCTGAGTTTAGGGTCACTTTAAATCTTAAAAATGTACTCAAGTACCCTATTAATAAAAATTTTAATTTGTGTGTAAATCTTATTTGTGTATCACTCAGTTGCAGATCCTCAAATCATCTCTGAATTGGTGCGGACTCTGTCCTTCCTTCTGGAGGGTGGCTACTTTTGTTCCCCATGTTCCCTGTGTGTGTTGTAAAGTAAATATATTAAACAAAACGGGAGATTGTAGTCCAAAGGAGTGAGCTTGGAGCGGTGACCACTTTACAACACATGCAGGGACCATGGGGAACAAAAGTAGCCACCCTCCAGAAGCAAGGACAGTGTCAGCACCAATTCAGAGATGATTTCAGGATCTACAGCTGAGTGATATATGTTAAATAAACACTGGCAATTAAGTTCTCATGCACACGTGAGACCATGCATATAACATCAGTGAGGTCTTGCATACCCTTTGTCAAGGCTGTAGCCAACACAGTGAAGTAACTTGGACCGATGACCTGTTTGCTTGCAATCAATACCATCTGGAGTGGGTCATCTGACCAAGCAGTGTTACCCAAGCACTGCTTTGATGTATGGAAAAACTTCTTCTCTTCTAAATGGTCCCCACATGTTGGAGAAGAGTCTTTAAAAAGCGCCCAGAAGTAAAATCTCACACTTCATTTTACAGAAACCGTAAACAAGAATGGTGGTTGGTCATTCCAGGCAACAATTCATTTTTTTCCTCATATTTAAGAAATCACTTCCATGATGTTTGTCACCTAATTTATTAACATTCATGTGATGTTTTTGCATATTTGTATGTTGCAAATTCAGCTTCTCTACCACCTGGTTTACTGTCACATGATACTGGCATTGGAATGGACCAGGGAAAGAGGGAATGTTAATAGTCTAAATGGTATGCACATAGAATAGTAGGTGCCCCCCTATTCATATACTACTTTCATTTTTGCTGGCAGGTTTGAACTTGTATATACCAGTGGATGTTTATATAATATTGGGGGGGCGAAAAAAAAATGTCTGCCCCGGGCGCCCATAACTCTGGTTACGCCACTGTGTGCTATATAATATACCATATAGTTACAATTGCAAGCACCCCCAATATATGAAGCAATGTGCTATATAGTGAAACTTACCACCCACATTTATTGTGAAACCAACCTGAATTTGTGTCACTTGGGGACGGGTTAGGGGTGTAGTACTCCTCAGTGGCCACATTGTCTTCTATGTCCTGAAATAGTAATATATTGTCTTACTGTATACCGCAGCCATAAAAGGGGGAAAAGAACATGTTTCATTACCTTGTAAGGATGAAAATTAAAAAATAAATAAATAAACCCAACAGAAATGTTTCTGAAATAAATTCACAAACTATGATCAAAGTCTATGGTTTGCATCTAAACAAAGAACTTTGCTGGCTTCTGTAGAAAACATTAGAAAAAAGTTTCCTTTACTAGAAGTGAAAAGAGCCATATAGGTTTAGCAGTGAGTTCTCTTACCTGGGCATTCTGCTCCGGCGGGGCACTGATTGCAGGATAAAGATCCTGAACTATGAGAATTAAGGACAAGAGGTCTGCAGGCCTCAGTGAGCTGGCATTTCGACTGAAAGCAATGGAAAGAAGAAAGATTTAATTTATTATTGGTAAAGTAAATCAGCTAGTATAATGATTAGAAATGTGCTTCTCAATAAAGTGACTGTAAAAGACTGAACACAGAATTTATTTTACTAGGAATGACTGCTGCCCTTTATGTTATGTGGTTACTCACTGCAATCCTTCTTGCAGCCCTGACCCTTCTCTTCATGTGACTGGGTGCAATGAATCATTGCCTGCTGCCTGATTTTCCATGAAGGGGGGTATACTAAAGTCAAATCTTTAAATTGGTTCTATAAATTTACCCAAGTACCTCTGTAGAGTACAAAGACTGGTGCTGCCATTGCATGTGGTTTTTAAAAGGGGCAGCTTCAGGACTGCCATCCTAATCCCGGCTTTACTACCTAGCGAGCCACTAACCCAGAACAGCATTTCAGACTCCACAGGCTTAATTGGTTGCTATTGGTTTACAATCCACTGGGTGGTGCAGCCAGGATTCGGATAATAGCTCCAGAGACTGCACCATTAAGGCCCATCTCCTGGCCCCCATTACACAGGATTTCTTCTCGGTCCGGCACATTATCATGTTGAGCCAGGATGAGTACAGATCTGTGTGCACTTCCAGGCCACTCTGGATATAAGTGCTGCAGGTCTCAAAGACCCCAGCACTGTAGTCATGCCTTTACCCTCCAGTTCATTCATAAAACAAAGCCTGGGGCTGTGAATTTTGCAAATGGCCAGCTTGGGAAAGGGGTAGAGACGTAACCATAGTGTTGGGATCTGAGACCTGCAGTGCTTACATCCAAGCAGTCTAAAGTACAGAGGGATCTATACCAATTCTGGCATCTAAACAAGGCTATTTGCAAAGTATAGAAGGAAGCCTGCATGATGGTAGTTTGCTTTTAAAGCAAATTAATGTTTAACTGCTCTATATCTGGTAAGGTTAATATGCCCAGAGTTGGGCTTTAACCCCTTCATGACTGAGGCCTTTTTTTTCATTTTTTGCACCCATGTTATATTCCAAATTTTAGGCCGCAAAAATCGACGTACATTGTACTTCGTCAGTCACGAAGGGGTTAAATACCAAGTCAGCAATGGCATCTCCCAAATTTCAACCTTCAAAAGATTTCCTTTAATCATATGAGTTTTCTCTCAAAAGGGTAGTGTAGAGTGCAGTGACTATGTGCAAAGGGCAATAACCTATGGCAGTAACCTATATGTAGCTTCCCATTGGTTACCTTCTTTTTGAAAATGTTAGTAGGCTGGTTGTCATGGTGAACCCTTTCAAAGTACTACTTTAATACTTTTAAAGTAAATATCCTGAAACAAGCATACAGCAAAAAAGTCAGAACTATTTTTTTCTGGGACAGTGACATGTGTTGGAAATGCAACATATGCTAATATGGACGGATTGTATTAATGACATGCTAATGTACTGTTATGTCTTTTCAGCACCAGACGGCGCTGTGGTGCAATGCTGGTCTATGCTAGTCTTTGTGCGCATGTTTATCTATGGTATACATTTTTCCTGTTTGATGTTGTATTCCGATATAACGTTCTTCTAAGCAAAGAAAACTTAATTCAGCATTCCTCAAGATCTCAGTGCTTCATCTAAACACATAAATAACAACTCGGAGTAATAAATCAAGAGTATTGACCTTACAGACAGCATCCAGCATATGTAGACAGCACATGGTTTTTCTCAGGTGCTGTACAAAGACACGCTTCACTGGTCTTTGGCCCTGCATTTCTGTGCCAAAGTTGACAGCAGTCATTAGGGGTCTTTAGACCTTTCGTCTTCTTTATAATGAATAGGGTGTACTGCAGGACACACTGCATGATATGCATAGGTCACTATACTGCATTTTTAGTTTGTTTATGTGTGTAACTGTTTTAAGATACTGCGTTTGCTGCAAAAACCTCCGTCCCCACCACAAAGGTAAATAATGGCCTGGCTACAACCATTGGTAGCTGAAGTCCATGTTGGAGCATAGAGTGTGGGTGGGAAGATCTCAGGCCTTCCTTCTTTTATGAGGGCATCCTCACAAGCCTTTTGATTTTTAGCTATTTTCACAAATTATAGCCAGGCCCGGATTTCCCACAAGGCCACCGAGGCCCGGCCTCGGGGCGGCAGAGCGCCGACGGGCGGCAGCGGTGACCCTGTGGGGAAGTTGCGGGCGCCGGTGTAAGGTATCTGGCGGCCGCACACTACGAGATATGGTACTTGGATACACTAGGAATCATTAGTTTAGCAAAAAATGTTGGGTCTGCTCAGAGCAAATAAAACATCTCTTCTGATTTTCTAAACATTGCGGGGGGAAAATAGGAACTTTCAGTTTACATGAGTAAGTGCATCAGAAAGTGTTCCAAGTCAAATGTGCAGTTAGTTTCCTTTCAAAAGCAGCCAGAGTCTGGAGTAGATATCCATGTCCTCTGTCAGTATGCTGAAGGAGAAGGACACTTGCTCTATGTGTAGATGCAGTCATCTCTCTGCATAGACCTGACACTCCCCCTGCTGAGTCAGAACATAACAAAGCTGTCCAATCAGCAGGAAGCATGGGGTTTGCCGATTGGATTATACGCATGTCCCAGCAGGGCGGGTGTCAAACCTCGGCAGAGAGATCACTGCTTCCACAGCAAGGATCCTTCTCTAAAGCATACTAGCATGACATTCTCTTATACTCAGCCTGTGGCTTCTTTTTAAAGGAAACAAACTATAATATTTGGAACAGCTTCAGTTTTGATGTACCGTGAAAACATACAGCAGATTTAAACTGAAAGAACAAGTATTATGTTAACACTACAGATATACTTTCTGGAATGTTATCAGATTCGGTACCTTGAGAAGAGAGCCAGAAGTTTGGTATTCACTAAAATGAAAGCATGCAGCACTTCCTCTCCGCCCCGTTCATTGCTGCTGTTGATGTACTGTACAATCTGTTTCTCTAAAAATTCAATGCACTGTTCACAAAGCTTTGGGTGAATCAAACGTTCCACAGCCTGCAGGGTGAAAGAGCACACATGACAAAATACATGAGTCACTGAGAACTAGAGTCCTAGGCAGAACATTGTCCCTTGACTTTATTTATCCTGGCCTGCTATAAGAAAAGTCTTTCTCTGATGTAAATACTGATCTTCATTCAATTCTGGATGCACAATTGGCCACGGAAAGAATAACGGAATGAGGTGAGGAAGCAGTGATAATATATAAAATGCCCTTCAGATAAAGAAGGCAATGCTGTACTTTATTTAGTGTATTTTAGTGAAGGTATTTCAGATTCCTTCGGACCCCAGAGATACTGTCAAATCATAAAGACCAATCTGCCTATGTTGAATTTTAATTAAAAGTGTAAGCATTAAATACATCATGTTCACGCTCGTTTCTGTACCTAGTGAGTTGATAAGTCATAAAGCTGGCCATACACCTATTGATTTTCGATGGGAAATTTTAGTTGCTGCCAAGAACCCTCTTTTGACTCTAGCTCAAATAGCCCAACAAGCACAGACCAATGTTGATTTCAATAATCATTCGTTAGGAATACTAATAGGGATGCACCGATACTAGTATCGGTGCCGATCTCAAGTATTTGGGCAAGTACTTGTACTCTGCCAAATGCTCAGATACCTTCCCCAAACTGAAATTTCCGGTCAGGGGAAGATTTCTGCTGTAGGGGAACATGGAGCTGGCTTCACGGGCAATCAGAAAGCCTGGTGGTGAGCAATGATCTGCCTCCCAGCTTCCTGATTGGCCGGGAAGTCGGCTTCATGCTGATTGGCTGGGAATCAGCATTTAGCCACTGAACAGCCAGCTCCTTGCTGATTGCCTGGGAAGCCATAGAAAAAAGCCACTAATCCATATTTTTTCATATGATTCAAAAAAGTTTTCCAGCCTCACCCTTCGAGAACATTCAAGCAGGATTACAGTAAAAAAAAAAATTGTTTGTGTCCCATCATCTGTTCGATTATTGTTCGAAAGACCATTCGTGGAAGATTTCCGAAAGAAAAATCGAAGAGTGTATGGGCACCTTACGTTAGACATGCATACTTGTTCCTGGTAGGTTTTCGAATGAACATTCATACAAAAAAAATCTGATCGGATATGCCATCGAAGGTCATTTGAAATTTCGTTTGATTTCCATATTGCTTTAACATTTGATTTTGGAATGAATGGAGTTTCCAGAACAAAAAACAAATTCACGGTTAGAATTCCATTTGATCGCAAAAACATTTCCAACATGGTCTTTTGACTTTTTTCATCACTGCGGCTGCAATTAATGTGCCTCTTCAATCCTGTTGGATTGAATAGGCGTGTTTTTTTTTGTATTGAGTGTTTTTTATCACTGTTGTTCACTATTTACATGTATATATAGAGGTTATTTACTTTGATTTATATAATTTATATTAATATTTGTTACAACGGCACTTACTGTATATAAATATATCTTCGTCATAGATAGATTATTCATTTTTAGTGCTTGCAGCAAGGTAGGGTTATTGTGCGTGGGGTAAAAGCAAGTTTTTATAATCATTGACCCCATTAACTAATAGAAGGTCGAACAAGCGTTCCAAAATCAATCTCATTCGTGCAAAATTCTAACCGCGCATACCCATATACCATTTAAGAGTAAGAATATTGGTCCCTAGACTTTGCAGCTTTAAAGTACAAACTATTTTTTTGTTAAACAGATCCCCCGGAAGGTTGAGCCCAAAGCCTGATCTTGGGCTTTAAATGAAAGTCGAAATGGAAGATTCTACAGTGAAATCCTGATAGGTGAATTTAAATAGCTGTTCCATAACGGGCCTGCTTGTGTGCTTTGGGTATCAAGTGAAAAGATATGTTTAAAATGCAAACCAGACTCCCTGTTTTACAAATAGTATAGGCAACAGTGAGAGGCTGATTACATGCATTGTGCATCCACCACTGAATTCCTGATTTTCTTTTTTGTACCCATTATGTTGCTGCTCGGTTAAAAAGGAGAACTATGGGGAGAGTGGAATTCACTCATCCCCATAATTAGAGCCGTCGCGTGACACTGCAGCTGTCACACGTCGGCTCTACTGATCGAGAACTGTGCAATCAGATAGCGCCGATCGCCAATGAGTTCCCGATCCTTTCCCTGCAGAGATTGGTGACCGTCAGTCACCGCTCCCCACAGGGAGTCCCCCCCTTTCCTTTCTCCGATCCTCCAGCGCTGACTGCACTATATGAACGAGCGTTGCACAGCTGGCTCTGCCTCTATTGTCAGGATCTTTCCTGGCCACAGTGCAACTCTGCACTGTAAGCATAAAGGGCAATAGCCCACTATATGCTGAGTTTTGGGTCACAAGAGGACATAGTAAATGTCCTCCTCTGACCCTAAGAGAATTATGGCCAAAAAAGGTTGGGCCATAGTTCTCAAGTATATATCTATAGATATATATACACACTGTGTGTGTATAGATCATTTATTATCATACAGATGTGGTTATCTGTACACTGCATTAGATATGGAACTGAAATCAATTATCGAGTCAGTCTTTATGAAATTTTATAGGATAATGTGCTTCTTGCTGACAATACTATAGCTACTTCACTATATTTAAAGCTGACCTCATGGCACAACAACTTTCAAATCAAAAATATTCTTCAATAGCCTTAAAGAATATAAAATCAGCTTTGTGTGCATCAAATGCCCTTGCTCAGCCAGATGTATTGCTTAGTAAAAGCAGCAATGACAGCATCACTTTTCTGCCATAGCCTGTGCAGAGAGCAGGAGCTGTGGGAGGGCCCAGCAGGCCCCACCCACTACAGGCTGCCTGCAGAAAACTACAGGAGAGGGTGGAGATGAGCAGAGTAGCGAGAGCAGCAGTGACCGGTCCTTATTACAGAAGAGGGCGGAGACAAGATCAGTCACCCTGCACAAGGAGAGAGAGAGCAGCAGTGTGCGGTCTTCATTACAGGAGGGTGCGGAGACAAGACCAGTCACCCTGCACAAGAGAGAGCTCAGTAACAGGTGTTTTTTTTTTTTTTTTAGAAAACTCCTGCACAGAGACAAAATGTCACACTTGATTGCTGCACAGATTTAAAAAAAATTCACAAAGCTCACCAAGATTCAACGAAGAATACATATGACCCTTGTATTTAGACATCTAAATATCTGCTTTCTCAGAGTTCAGCTTTAAGCGAACACAAAACATTTTTTTTTTTTAGTTAAATTATTCTAAAAACTCTGGTAGATACCACCATTGCTTCAGCTTGCATCAACATAACTGCCATATGAACCAACCAGCTGAAAAAAAACATAGCAGTCAAATTAATCCTAGTTCACAGACAGGGAATGAAGGAACACTTAGCATTCACCTCTACTGCAAAGCTCTGGTCTTCATTCCTTAAAGTGCTGTAAGTTTGGAGTAGACTCTGAAACGTCTTCCAGACCAGGTTCCTCTGATCTGAATCAGGCGGCCGTAACCTGCATAAGGGGAAACAGGAATATGTTACATATACAGTAATCCACACTGAATATTTTGGATACACAACAGCTAGTATGGAAATTACAATCAGCACAGACGTCTTGTCATACATACTCCTTCCTGATTAGCTGTCCATCTAATGTCACCAGACCAAAGTGCACCTCGGTGAGTCTCTTCAGAACATAGAGCTTGCGTCTCAGATCATCCTCCGTTTCCGATTCGTCACCATTAACCGCAATGAACAGACATTCTCCAAACTGCACAGAAAGAACATGGAACATTTTAAGAGGAGAAATACCTTTGGAGTTCTCCACACTCCAAAATGGAAACACAAAAGCTGAACACAATGTGTGACGTGCTTATACTTTCCCAAAAGTGCATTTCATGTTTAATCCCTTTCTATTAAATATTTACAAGAAATTAAAACAAACGTACATTTGGTGAAAGGTCCCATACAATAATAGGACATTACTCCATGTGAAAGTCTGCATAGCACAGGGTTGGGCAATCTCGGCGCTCCATCTGTTGCGGAAGTCTCATGAAGCATTGCAAGACTGACCGCCATGAGCATGACTCCTTGAGGCAGAGACATTATGAGATATGTAGTTTTACAGCAGCTGGAGTGCTGAGGTTGCCTGCCCTTGGTGTAGCCTATCTTTAACAACGTACCTCCAGCTATGTGTACATAATGAGGGTATATCAAATAGAATTTTATATTCAACACTCAGTTGTATATTTTTTTTACTCTTTTTTGACTGAAATAATTGTCCAACCCAAGTTATGTTTTTTTATAATGACAGCAATTGCCCATTCTGTAGTTGCATTAGCTTTATAAATGTCCCGAATGTGCGTAAAGTTTGTTCTATCATATCTCACAAATCAACTTCTGCAATTGCCTGAGAAAGCCAAGCAAAGATTTTGTTTTAAACCTTTTCTAATGTATTTTAGGAATAAAGCAAATGGGAAATGTGAACGGTCTAGAAAACAATATAAATTCAGATTATAAATATATAAGAGGAAACAACAACATATGCACAGTGAACCCAATACAGGTCCGGTGGTTTTCCCAGCCAAGACTTGCGGAGTGCAGGGGAGGTAGGGCAATACAGAGCCATAAGCTGCACCCAGCTGCACCAACACAGTGCCTGAGGTTGGTGCCTTTCCTGCCTGTACTTAGGCCCAGCCCTCGAAGGAGATGTAGATGCTGGAGTTCCTGGAAACCAGAGCTTTATTTTTTATTAATAAATCTGAATTGACTTGCCATGTGAAGAACACACAGATGGCCATTCTCAGCTGTGAAACAAGTATAGGTGTCACCGATCTTCTCCAATAGCGTCACACAGGAGATGATTAGAGGTGCAAATTGTGTATTGATAATGTCACTAAATGTTGGGCACTGTGAATACAAAATTAAGATATCCGGACATAGTAATGAAAGTAAAAATAATATGCATACTTATTGAATGTTAAATAGACAGCTGAATACATGTATGTGAATGGTCTTAGAACTTAGACAGCTTTGAAGGACCCTGACCTCTAGTGCAGTTAGGACCCATTGAATGAAGAAACAAGAATGCAATGATGAGGTTATCACTCTGCTCTCTCTCTCTTCCTGTCTGCAAGCTCTCGGTGTTCTATTGACAGCACTGCACAATGTAGTAGAGCCCAATTTGCTTACAGTGCTGAGCCTCCCACTAAAGGTTTACTGTGCAAGAGATTATAGGATCCCAATATAAAAATAACATTCCAATTCTTATACTTACTACTTGAAGTTAAAAATACATTTAATGAATACATATCTGGGGCTCAGTTTTAAATGCTGTCAGTTTTTGACATTGTTGCTTGCATGCTTGGATCTAAAAAGTGGCAGGTCTATTTTACCCCTCCATTCTGTTCAATGGCTTGTTTGTTGTCCAACATGGCCAATTCATAGATCCCTCGCCAGATTCTTATTACATTATACCCTGCTGTACCATCCCTCTTCAGATATTACCATAAGTCACTTCTCAAAGCGAATGTAGCTAATGCTCACAAAATAAATCACATTAACAAGTCTTCCTACCATGTATTTATATTAATTTGATTAGTCAAAAAGTGATGGGTAAAGTGCATTAACACTAGATGTGGCTGTTATGAGTTACTGAGCACCACACATCAATGCTCCTTGACACAGTTCATCAAATAAGGCCTGGCTGTATCCATTATGAAAAAATACCCAGAGTAGGCCCATTGTCCAAGCGATGCCCATAAGAAACCTATTCCTCAGGCTCAAAAAAAGAGTGAGAGGTAAGAAGACAAAATGTTATGCTGACAACGGGGAGATTTCTTCTCACTTCAGGGAGATTTCTTCTCACTTCTTGTTGTGTCTCCAAGACGGGAAGTGAAGGATCTCCCTTGCAGGATACTGGTAGGCATTTTAAGCCTTCCCTATGTCTATCCAAAAGTAAAAAACAAATAGATTTGACTTTACATACACACTAAGGAATAGGACACGTTGGCATTTTAAGGCATCCATTGGCTTTTTCCATTGCTCTGGTCTTAATGACTGTACAGATAGCGTTGAAATATACAATGAGGTTGTGATTTTTACCTGTAAAAACTCGTCAGGGAGAGAATATTTGCTGTTAAGGTTCTTTTCAAATTCTTCATCAGCCCAACAAAAAAGAACTTCTGCCCCATCTGACACGATGAGTACACATTTCATCTGCCATAGAGCAATAAAAAAAAATACTTTATATACCCAAAATTAGTTTACAATCAGTATAATTTCAATTATATTTACATTTGATAAACAATCATCCAAAATTTAAATCATATTGGCAAAAGAATTTGTCAAGCAGAACATTTTCACCTTTATTTTGTGATATAGACATTGCCCATCTTCATCCACACTTAAAAGTACACTTTATGGCCAAATCGTTGTGTACACCTGACCATCACATCAACACCATAGCCAACTTATCAAGTTCAGGTGTCTCCTGTGAAGGGTAGTATTAATCTATGCCATACAAAGACATTTTAGATGATTGTACATTTCAAAACTTATGGCAACAGTATTGCAGCATCACTGTGTCTGTGCAGAAAGCCAACTCTATAAAGACTTGTTTTGAGGAGTTTGATGTTGTGTAACTTAAGTGGCCTGTATGGAACTCTGACCGCAACTCTATTGGACACCTTTAAGATGAATTGGACAGGTCCAATTGATACTCAAAAAGCTCTTGGAAAGCCTTCCCAAAAGAGTGATGGTTGTTATAGCCACAAATATGATGACAACCTTATATTAATGCCCATGGGTTTGGAATAGGATGTCCAACACGTTCATATAGGTGTGATGGTTAGGTCCACAAACTTTAAGACTAAGGGCTCATTCACACTGGAATCGGCCGGCACCTACAGCTCCGTGCATGGCCATATCGAGCAGCTCCTGGGAAGGACAGGTGCGGTGTGTGATTAGTATGCAGCCCCCATCCTTCTCTATAGGACTACGCGGCCGTACGCCCCACTATTCTTACCTGCCCTGCACATCCATGCGGGTGTGGTGAGCGTAGGGGGGGGGGGAGCGTACGGTCGCGTAGTCCCATAGAGAAGGACAGGGGCTGCACACTAATCACATGCCGCACCTGTCCTTCCTGGAAGCTGCCTAATATGGCCCTGCACGCAGCACGGAGCTGTACGTGCCGGCCAATTCCAGTGTGAATGAGGCCATATAGTGCATGCCATAAATTAAAGTTCTAAAGGATAAGTCCACTCAAAACAAAATTTCAGCCCTGAGTAGATGCTAGGAGGTTGAGGCCAGGTTCACACCTCGTGCACAAAACAGCACAGTCATGGAATCATACACACCACCACCGATCGCGCTGGCGGTGCCAATATCACACTGCGTATCACAGAAAAAAGGTACATTTCAGCGATTGCCACATGGATGTAACCCCATTGAGGCTAGGTTCACACCTAGGCGATTTATTGCGCGGATTTAGCTACACGATCGCACAAAGCACAGATTACCATTGAAGTCAATGGGGCCTGTTCACATCTTCGTGGTGCATCACGGAGCCAAAATCACCTGTTGTGCAAAAAGGCACAGGAGCTATTTTCGGCGGTTGTGGTCCCATAGACATCTCTATGCATTGAAAACAGCTCATCGTCTCAATCGCCTAGGTGTGAACCTAGCCTGAAATCAATTGTGCCACACAGCAACCACTGTGTGCAATCGTGCACGTTCGCGTGTTCCCGGAATCGCTGATATGTGAACCTAGCCTGAATCAACCATTGGTTTCTTATGTCTCTCAAGTAGCCATGAGACAGGATCATTCTACCTGAGTTTTCAATGCCACTGGTCATAAATCCTTATCTGCATATGTGCTTTAATTCTAAAGACTGAAGCAAGAACAGCATGAAAGCCAGGTATATCGAATGTTTAGAAGAAGAGCTCAGCAATGGCACCGTGTATGTTTTTGTAGCGAAAATGACAGGAAAACGAAGACTTCCCTTTTAGCAATCGAATGAGTGAGACTCCATGTTCAGGCAACAGAGATTAGAACTTAAAGGAATCATGTCACTACTGGTGGGTGATTCAGACCATCGATACCTGAAATATTAGTTTTGTCTGGACCAACCCCCTCATTTCTTACAAAAGCACAACACCTACGTTTATTTTTTGAAGCCTCCTTGCTTTTTCTTTGTGAGATTCTTATTTCATGCAGCATGTCCTCAGATCCATGAGGCATAATCTTCATAGAACATGGTCCTCTATCTCACCTAAAAACAGATTAAACATTATAACTGACCCAAGAATGTATAAAAGTATAGAAAATTCAGAAGACAGCCAATCCGGCAACATGTACCTCCACTAACCAATAAACATTTTAGGCACACTGAGTTACTTGACAGGCAAAGAACAGATTTGTGTGCTTTTCATTGTTCTGCATAAGAAAAGATTCCTGCATGCTATTCTCAGTAGTTGCAGCCTCCTCAATAACAGAAAATTCCCTGAATTCCTAGAATGCAGTCAACCAGTTTTACAGATTTAAACCAAGATGAGCTTGTTTGCAATATAACACGCAAATGTTTGCTAATGTAGATGGACAGAGAAGTCATTCTGCCACGTTCTAGGGCCCGACTTCTAACAAGATCACAATTACTTTTTTTTATGTGGAGACACCAAATCATCTCGGGATCTAGCTGATTGCCTTTGTTAGCATCCGTTCAGGAAATTAGTTTCAGTTTATCAATCAGTTTAGCTTCTGCTGGAGCCCGAGATGATTTGCTGCCTCCACAGAAGAAAAGATCATAACAAAGATAGAAGAGTTACTTTTGTTACTACATACTCGTGAATGTGAATTCCAAAACATATTAACAAAAGATTACCCATTTTGTTCAACGACAAACAGCTGTTTTACCTGTGTCACTCTCAAGTGTGACGCATCTTTGTTAAGGTGCCCATACACTTTACACTTCTAGGAATGTTGATCTTCTGGATTCCCTACAGTGTGTGGTGGTTTTTGGTGGAACTCCAGCCAAGTTGTGTTCAGCATAAGGCCTGGTTCACACCTGGACGTTTTGTAGCGCGTTCGAACGCTCTGCAAAACGCTCAAACACCGAAATCCCATTATTTGCTATGGGTATGGTTCACACCTGGGCGTATTACAGGCCGTATGAACGCACTACAAAACGCCCAAAGAAGTACAGGAGCTTCTTTGGGGCGTTTCTGTCGCGCGTATGCATTGGGATACAGCCAATTTTTTTACCGCGAATCGCGCGACAAATGCGCATATTTGATACGCCTAGGTGTGAACCCAGCCTAAAAGCATTTAAAGCGATGCCTATGGGGAATTTTGGTTATTGTATTTTTTGCGGTTTCACGGACACACGCAATTTTAAGGCTTGAAATGTTTGGTGTCTATTTACCCGACGTGACCCCGTCTTTCATATTTTACCAAAAAATTGGCAATTATATTCTGTTTCTGTGCACCAAATTTCATTTTAGTGTATTCTATCATAAAAATACTTGTTTGATAAACATTTGCGCAAATAGCATGCAACATAAAAAATAGCAACAAGCATCTTTGTATTCTACAGGGCCTCTGCTTTCAGAAAATATATTCTTTGGGGGTCTGAACCATACCCATAGGAAATAATGGGATATCGGTGTTTGAGCGTTTTGCAGAGCGTAGGAACGCGCTACAAAACGCCCAGGTGTGAACCGGGCCTTACTGCTCATCAGTTTAGTGTTACCGGTGATTGATGGGCCTAGAATTATTGCTCTCACTCCGATGCTCGTGACAATTTGTAACATGTGTGGCGCAATTTTTGTTTTTGCACAGAGGTGCATCCGACGCGTTTGCATTGTATGTGTGTGTACATGGCGGGCAGGGGACTTTTTTTGGATTTTTTATGTTACTTTAATTTTTACACTCTGTTTTATTGCTATTGCATAGGGGGATAACAAGCACCCTATGTAATAGCAAATATAGTGTGACAGGTCCTCTTTATGGAGACATCAGGGATCTTTCAGACCCCTAATGTCACCTAGGGACCCTAAAGAGGCTGATGAAGCCAGAGAATGTGCCCAGTGACAACGGAAGTGATGTAATGCACATCAATTCCGGCTCCAGTGATCTCGGCTGTAGATCCTCAAATCATCTGTGAATTGGTGCTGACACTGTCCTTCCTTCTGGAGGGGGGCTACTTTTGTTCCCCATGGTCCCTGTGTGTGTTGTAAAGTAGTCACTGCTCCAATCTCGCTCCCGTGATGGACTACAATGTCAATACAAATTAGTAAACTAAAACATGAGATTGTAGTTCATCATGGGAGTGAGCTTGGAGTGGTGACTACTTTACAACACAGACTGGGACCATGGGGAACAAAAGTAGCCACCCTCCAGAAGGAAGGACAGTGTCAGCACTAATTCAAGCTTCACACTAGGGCGATCTGTGACCACGCAGCACGCGTATGGCCGCACGATCATGGAATCACACACCACCACCAGTCACGCTGGCGGTGCCATTATTTTCTAATGGTACCCTAGTAGCACCAGGCTGATTGCCCGATTTCCCGCCATGATACCACCCGTGCAATTGCGCATGTGTCACACACAAAAAGGTACATGCATCTTTTTTCAGTGTTTGTTGCTTGGATATAACCCCATTGAAATCAATGGGGCCACGCTGTGTACGATCATGTGGTCACAATTGCTGTGTACGATCATGTGGTCCCAGGATCGCCGATATGTGAACCTAGAGATGATTGGAGGATCTACAGCCGAGTGACACACAAATAAGAGACATTTCTGTTCATAGTTAAAGTGACATTAAAGCATACATTTTTTTCCCCTCCCCCAAAGTCAATGTAAGCACTTATTTTAAATGATGTCTCTTAATCCGATCTTCTCTCCTGTAGTTTTCAGCTGTCCCTCCAGTGCTGCGGCGGGTCTCCGAAGCAGCACTGACTCCTCTGTACTTGCTGGCACTTCCTGTCCCACTGTGCCTGTGCGGGTGCACGCTGCTCCATAGACTTACCTTGTGTCTATCCTCGTCTCCCGGCCGAACATCTGAACTGCGCATGCGCCCGCCCCAAGATCCTTTGCGGCCGCCCGACACTGTTCAGATGTTCGGACTGGAGCGTGCAGCGGTGACACAGGTAAGTTTTAACCTTTTTGAATTTTTTTTTTTTTTTTACGTTTTTGCATCTATCTACTACTGCTTGCTAGAAGTGGATATATGCAAAACAAACGTGAGGGTTTAATAACCCTTTAAAGTACTTGAATTCATTTTTAAGGTTTAACCCCTGAGTGCAGTGTCACTTTAACCAGAGGGTATGGGTATGTCACCACTCTCCATGCTACAAGGGTATATTCCTCTTCTAAGGCTAGCCATTCAGATCGGCTTGAATCACTAGCTTTAGAATAGGAACATATAAGAGCCAACTGATTATCCAGAACTGGCCATTCAGAATGATCTAGACTAAAAGCCCTCTACAAGGATGACAAAACAAGGGCAGGGCACCAGGGGCGTCCCCAGGCATAGTGTCACCCAGAGCAGCCACTGGGTGACACCCCAGCATAACGTCAGCGTGCACACGCATGATACCGTCATGCAGTTACCTGCCAGCGGACATCACCAAGAGAGAGGAGGGGACATTCACCTTATCCCACTGGGTCCCCTCTTCTCTGTTGCAACTGTCGGGCTCTTGGTCTATGACCGAGTGGCTGACTTTTGAAAGGGGGTGACACCAAAATGACCGTTAGTCATTTTGGCGTCACCCCCTCCAAAAGGTGTCACCCCGTGTGAGGACACCACTGAGGGGGAACTCATCCTCTTTAATACATTCTAATTACCAGCGAGGATATATTTTGACCAGGGCCCGGGGTTAGTTTGGAAACAAAAAGAATATAAATGTTTTCATTTCAGTGTTTGTTTTTTGTTTTGTTCAAAGCAAACAAACAATCACAATATTGTGCTGAAAGAAATCAACAACAAATTCCTAAAGTGATAGAAAGTTTCATCACATGGAAGAGAGGAGCAGACACAATGCAGGACCAACATCTCTGGGATATCTATACTATGTATCAGCAGGAGGACAGATAAATACAATGTATACAATGTTATCTTACTTACAGACTAGAGCAGCTTCCTCTCCTCTGCTGGGATGACACTGAGACCTGTGCTGGCTGCTGCACTTCCTGCATGAGACATGTGACATGTACACACCATGTGACTAGCACCCAGGAGAGGGGGAGGGGACTCACATGGGTGGAATTGGGGATTTCTGTCACAGAGAAGCTGAACAGTTCCTCACAACGTCAATTGGCGCTTTGTGTATTTTGTAATTACTGAAATGCAGAACGCTCATTTAGACCAACACCATCTTCAGACCAGAACATTTTGTTATCCGTACATGAGGCTAGAACTGAACACCATTGCGTTCAGTTCCAGAGCTTTTAACCCCTTCGTGACATGTCTTTTTTCCAGTTTCTGTTCATTAATGACTGACGCACCTTTTACATTTTTGCTGTGTGATTCATCCATGGCAGTCATATACTGTCTTAATAAGTGCAACTATACATATTATTTCTGTACTTCTCATCCTAAAACTGAAAGCTAACATTTTATTCTCTAAAAGCTAATAGTGGTAAGCTTAGGCGACATACAATGTCACTGTCACACTTAACGAGAGTGACATACGTTGAACATCACCGCCATGAGGGGGGTTAAATTTAAAAAAATTAACCCCTTAGGGTGAAAAACATATCTGCAGCTCAGTTGCAGATTTTCATTGAAAGGGGTTAATTTTTAAAACAACTAAACAAATAAAATAAATATATATATACACAGACATTACAGAGCCCCAAATAGCTGCTTACTTACGGTGTATATGAGCAGTCATTTGGGCACTTAGTGATGGAGATGTACAGTGTACGTCTACCATCACAAAGGGGTTCTAAAGAACTACAGCATGGTGCATTTTTCTAGTCTAGAATGCATTACAACGCAAGGCAAAGACAAAAAAAAAAACATAAAAAATGTGAATGACCACATGTGCAGAAACGTATCCAGATCTGGTCCACTTTTGCAACCAAACTAGGATTACTTTATATTTTTAATGTGTTCACGTTGCATCAGGTAACTTGCTTATCCTACTGAGCTTAAAGAGGAACTCCTGAATTTTATAAAACTTTCCTTTGCAGTAGGGCTACCCCAGCAATGCAAGGTCTAGGGGCAAAAATAAAGCAGATATACTCACCTCATCCTCAGT